CAGGAGAGAGCGAGTACTGCATGAACAAGGCAGGAGAGGCAGAGGGATAGACCACAGGCTGTTGCAGTGATTGAATGAGTGCAAATAGGTGTAGCTTTGGGTTAGACTGCACTTTAGGTGGAAGAGGGGAGCACAGCCATCAGTCACTCTCACTGTGCACGCACAGAACTCGTCTTACAATCCAGGCCCTGTGGGGTATCCTTACACAAGCTGTCTGGAGGACGTTAGGTTTAGGGTGGTTGAGAGACTTCCCCATGATGACTCAGGGGTGAATGTCTGCATTTGAACTCAGCTCTATGCAGGGCCCAGGGGCTTACCCACTCCCACCTGCCCTGCACTGACCTTAGCAGCATGGAGAACCCTTAGACTATGTTGCAATTGGGTCTGAAGATAAAGTTGAGGAAGCTGGGGACTCTGGTGCCCTCTGGGGGAGACAGGAGGTTCTGCAGAGAAGCTGTCTAAGCCTAGGGCTGGGATCTCTGTAGATTAAAAAAAACGAATGATAGAATTATGGTCCTGATTTCATCATGTAAGGGCAAGGCTTTATCTCCGTCATCCCCACTTCTTCATAATGAGCCCCACAATATTTACGTGGGCACATCATCTATTGAAATGAAGGCATAAGGCCATGTGACACAGGCTGAAATAAAATGTGTAATTTAAGTAGTGACTGAATGAGTGAAAGTGGGTGTAGCTCTAAAAGATAAGGGTTTGTTCTTTCTTCCATACTGCTTTCTGGAATTCACATATAATAGTTGTAAATCAAGCAGCCATCATGGACTGTGAGTGGAAGTAGCTCTTTGAAGATGACAGAGCAAAAATTAAGAAGGGGTCTAGCTGACACGCTCATGGTGGTGGTGTTGGTGGTGGTGGTGGTGGTGATGATGGTGGTAGTGGTGTTGTTGGTGGTGGTGATGATGGTGGTAGTGGTGGTGGTGGTGGTGATAGTGGTGGTGGTGGTGATGATGATGGTGGTGGTGATGATGGTGGTGGTGATGATGATGGTGGTGGTGGTGGTGGTGATGATGATGGTGGTGGTGGTGATGATGATGGTGGTGGTGGTGGTGGTGGTGGTGGTGGTGATGATGATGGTGGTGGTGATGATGATGGTGGTGGTGGTGATGATGGTGGTGGTGATGATGATGGTGGTGGTGATGATGGTGGTGGTGGTGGTGGTGGTGATGATGATGGTGGTGGTGATGATGATGATGGTGATGGTGTTGGTGGTGGTGGTGATGATGGTGGTGGTGGTGGTGGTGGAGGTGGTGGTGGTGGTGATGATGATGATGGTGGTGATGATGATGGTGGTGGTGATGATGATGGTGGTGGTGATGATGGTGGTGGTGATGATGATGGTGGTGGTGATGATGGTGGTGGTGGTGGTGGTGGTGATGATGATGGTGGTGGTGATGATGATGATGGTGATGGTGTTGGTGGTGGTGGTGATGATGGTGGTGGTGGTGGTGGTGGTGGTGGTGGTGGTGGTGATGATGATGATGGTGGTGATGATGATGGTGGTGGTGGTGATGATGATGGTGGTGGTGGTGGTGGTGGTGGTGGTGATGATGATGGTGGTGGTGATGATGATGGTGGTGGTGGTGATGATGGTGGTGGTGATGATGATGGTGGTGGTGATGATGGTGGTGGTGGTGGTGGTGGTGATGATGATGGTGGTGGTGATGATGATGATGGTGATGGTGTTGGTGGTGGTGGTGATGATGGTGGTGGTGGTGGTGGTGGAGGTGGTGGTGGTGGTGATGATGATGATGGTGGTGATGATGATGGTGGTGGTGATGATGATGGTGGTGGTGATGATGGTGGTGGTGATGGTGGTGGTGTTGGCAGCAGACACGCCATTGACATGCAGAAGGACACCAGCGAGTTCGTGGACCTGTAAGTGTGGCGGAAGTGCACTGCCAGCAACCTCATCATTGGTGCCAGGGACCACGGATCCATCCAGATGAATGAGGCAGAGGTTGATAAGGTGACAGGCAGGTTCAAGGCCAGTTTACAATCTATGCTATCTGCGGGGCTATGGGGGGGGGGGGGGGGTGAGTCAGAGGATTCCATTCTCCAACTGGCCAAGGCCGATGGCATCGTCTCAAAGAACTTCTGACTGAAGGGCATCACAGATGTGAAATTGGTCATACATAAATAGTGGAAACATAGAAATAAAAAAAGATGAAGAAGGGTTCTAGTTTCATGATGATTGAACCATTGCCACATTAGCCTCAGATGCCACACGTACTTGAGGTATTGAGATACACTTCTGTTTTATTTAAACCATGGTTATTTTGAGTTTCTTTAGCCAAACTATGTGGGGGGGTGTTTTTTATTTGAAAAAAACAAAAAAAACAAAACCGGTTTGGCTCAGTGGATAGAGCACAGCCTGTAGACTGAAGGATCCCAGGTTCGATCTCAGTCAAGGGCATGTACCTTGGTTGCGGGCACATCCCCAGTAGGGGGTGTGCAGGAGGCAGCTGATCGATGTTTCTCTCTCATCGATGTTTCTAGCTCTGTATCCCTCTCCCTTCCTCTCTGTAAAAAATCAATAAGATATATTTTTTAAAATATGCTGGTTTATTCCAGAATAAATGCAAAAAAAAAAAAAAACTAGCAAAATTTTACTCAGAGTAAAACCATTAAGCCATGAAATGAAATAATTTATTCACCAAATATAACTTTATACTCGAGATTTCACATACCCAGCATCGCTCTTTCCCAATTCTAAAAAGTTCTATTAAGATCTGCTATTCTTAGGACAGATTTTGATCTGATACATTTAATTACAATGAGATGAAATTTCTGGACACCAAAGTCCAAGATATGTTAAAGAGTTCCCCCCTGACCTCTATTCCTTCTATCTTACAGCCTCCAAAGAATATGGCACATTACAGATATGCACACTACTTGTGGCCAGCTGTCTCAAGGTGGAAATGTCCGTTGTCTACTCTCACCCTCAGTTGGGCTTGGGATGCAACTGAGGGTGAGATAAGGTGGAACAGGGACCCGCGTTGGTCAGGATGGTGATTACGATTGGGATTGGGATCAGTTTTATGTAATGGAAGATGTCAAATTTGAGTGCCAACCAGTTATGGCCAAAGTTGTTGGGAGAATAGAGTGAATGGAATGACCTTCCTTCCTTCCTTCCTTCTTTCCTTCCTTCCTTCCTTCCTTCCTTGCTTCCTTCCTTTCTTCCTTCCTTCCCTCCTTCCTTTCTTTTTTATTTTAAGACAAGTTTTAGGTTCACAGCAAAATGAGGGAAAGGTACGGAGATTTCCTATATGTCCTCTGCCCCCATACATGCATAGCCTTCCCTATTGTAGCTAATGAGCAACCACAGAATTCTCAGTGGCATCCAACAGCAAACATGTATCTTCAGGTGGGCTCAGGTCTAGCTGACGTTGGTCGGGCCCAGCTGGGCTTATTCCAGGCTGCGGGTTAGTCTCACATGTCTGTCCTCCTCTTTGGACCAGCGGGTCAGCTGGAGTATGTTTTTTGCACGGCAATGGCAGAAATGCAAGAGGGCAAGGCAAGCCAAGGGAGTGTATTTCAAGACTTCCTGTCACGTCCACTCACATCCTTTGGCCACATAAGTTTTGGCTAAGGCCAAATCAGTGGGTAAAGGAGAATGCTTCGCCTACCACAAAGCTATGGGATAGATGCGTGTAGTCTGCAGTAGATGGACTGGGGCCAGTAAGTTGCATAGGCCCAGAGCTGGGAGTCTCTGGACCAACAAGCCTTATGTTGGGGTTGGAGGAGGAAGCAATGGGATGAATCCAAGGTTGGGAGTGACAAGGAAGCTACAAAGAGGAGAGAATGGGAGAGATCTAAGTTCTGTGGGGCCTGAGGATTTCAGGATAGAATGTCAGGAGACATCTACTTTGGATCCTGGGTCCATCCGATTCAGGGTTTCACATCTTTTTATTTTTATTTTTATTTATCAGCACATGAGGTTTGCCCACAGGATCGAGGGGGGCTGATCTGCCATGGCGGGGCTCCCTATCACTACAGATAGGCAGGGGCTGAGGTGAAGTAAATTTAAGTTACAAAAACAGAGAAACGTGTTGTCCCTTGTATCCAGGATTGTTTGGAGCAATTAACATCTGTCCCATATGCCAAGTGCTTGGCACATAGTAGGCCCTCCATAAAATGGGCTCCAGTATTGTAATGGTAACTCTCCCGTGCTAGGGTCTTTCCTTTTCTACCTCAGTGGGTGTCCCAGGGCCCCTGTGTTCCCCACAACCAGGACCTGCTTCCTGACGGGGGGGAGATTCTTCTCAAAGTGTCTGGTATGCCATGGGGTGTGGAGAATCAACACCTTGGTCTGGGTGCCCAGGAATGCTCCCCTCCTCCAGGCGATTTCTATTGCCCATTTCAAAGCCAGTAGACTTCATTTATGGATTATATGTCTCTCAGAGTTAAATGTTTGGGACTCCTGCCCTAACTGGTTCGGCTCAGTGGATAGAGCGTCGGCCTGCGGACTGAAGGGTCCCAGATTCGATTCCGGTCAAGGGCATGTATCTTGGTTGCCGGCACATCCCCAGTAAGGAGTGTGCAGGGAGCAGCTGATCGATGTTTCTCTCTCATCGATGTTTCTAACTCTCTATCCCTCTCCCTTCCTCTTTGTAAAAAAAATCAATAAAATATATTTTAAAAAAAATGTTTGGGACTTCCCACTGTTCTAAAGATACTGTACTCCTGGGATTGCCCAGCTGCACCCTGATATCCCTGGGTTTGCCTCCTGCCCAGTGGTCAGGAGGAACAGTGCGCAGAAAGCTCCCCTCCACGCTCAGGCTCCCTAAAAAGGCCACGAGCCCCCAAAGAGAGGGGTGAACAGACCCTCCATGTCCCTCCACTTTTCCTGAGAGGAAGAGATAGAGTGGCCCCGGGCCCCACTTTGGCTTTTGCTCAAGTCCCTTGGTGCTCAGCCTTCCCTTGCCAAGTCTTTCCTGTCCTGGATTGCGAAAGGCCTGCAGCTGCCTCCCCGACCAGCCTCCGGGCTGGGCAGTACAGCTGAGGCTCGGGGAAAAGAAGAAGCAGCTTCTGCGGCTGGATCTCCTCTCTCGGGGTGACAGAGCCCGGGGAGCAGGCAGCACAGGCGCGCGTGGCCCTCCTTCCTGTTCTCCTCCCCTGCGGTTCACCAGCCTTGCAGCCACTTCCCCTGGAGCAGGTACGCCTATCCCTGGGCCTGGAGGGCGAGTGGAGGGAAGGGAGCAGGGCTGGGCTGAGGTTGGCTGGGGGTCATCTGGTGTGAGAGCTGGATGCCAAATCAACCCAAGCCCAAGACACTAATCAAAGCTGCACTCCTAACCTAAACCCTTCCACAGCTCCAAATCTTCCCAACCCACATCCCATTCCCAGTCCCAATCCCAATCCCAATCCCATTCCCAATCCCAATCCCAATCCCAACCACCGTCCGGCCCAATGCAGGCCCCTGATCCACCCTTATCTCACTCTCCCTTGCATCCCAACCCAACCATTTTACTAATCACTGGCCTTTGCCCTCACCCCAAGCCCATCACTCTCACCTCCGTGTCATCCCTGATTCCATCCCAAAGCACTGCCTGCCCATCACTGTCACCCCAGCCCAACCACAACGTGGCCTTCGTCTTCCCCTCACTCTGAGCCCAGGCCGCTCCTGGGACTTTCCACTGTGATAAAGATACCCCTTCCCAGGGTTGCCCAGCTGTACCCTGATTTCCTTTCAGGGGGCAGAGCACTCCAGCTGTCTGTGTCACCCTTTTCCCTCCTTCTCCAGCCAGATGGGGAAGTTGGGGAGAAGCCCTGGTCTAAGAAACAGAAACTGAATCCTGCTGAGCTGCCTGCAGTGAAAATGTTTTAACACCGCCCCCCCCCCCCTCCCCCCCCGCTGGACTTGGCCTTTGGGACAGAGGTCAGGCACTCGGATCCCAATTCACCCTTTTCTTTGTCCTGGGACACGTAGTCTCATAGAGACTTTACCCGCTCACTTGCTCCCACACAGGCAGCGAACATGGGTGCCCACCATGTGACAGGCCATATGGGTGCCCATCCCAACCCTGACGCAACCTCTACCGTTTCTGGGTAGGAGTGAGGGTTTAAAACTCTGTCTTCAGAGCACCCAAGACCTGGGGATACAAGGATGAACCTCAGGAACTCCCTGAGGTCTGGGGAATGACACTCTCTCCAATGGTCATTGCCCAAGGGGCAGGTTGTTTTAGAACTGTGCTACTCTCTGCCCCCCAATATACCCACCCCTTCCCCAAGACCCATATTATCCCTCTGCCACCAGGGAGCACAGCTTAACCTAAGCCCTCAGTACCAGTCTTTCTTTCTTTCTTTCTTTCTTTCTTTCTTTCTTTCTTTCTTTCTTTCTTTCTTTCTTTCCTTTCTTTCTTTCTTTCTTTCTTTCTTTCTTTCTTTCTTTCTTTCTTTCTTTTTCTTTCTTTCTTTCTTCCTTCCTTCCTTCCTTCCTTCCTTCCTTCCTTCCTTCCTTCTTTCCTTCCTTCCTTCCTTCCTTCCTTCTCTCTTAATAATTCTTCATTGTTGAAAGTATTACATATGCCCCACACACACACATTGGTCCCTTCCAGCCCCCTCAACCCCTCCAACCCCCCCCCCCCAACCCCCTAGGCCTTCACTACCCATTGTCTGTGTCCATGGGTCATGCATATATGCACACCAGGTCTTTGGTTGACTACCTCACACCCCTCTTCCTCCCCCCCACCCCCCCGCCCTTCCCTCCAAGATTCCTCACTCTGTTCCATGCTTCCATGACTCTGGATCCATTCTGTTCATCACTTTATTTTGTTACTTAGATTCCACGTATGAATGAAATCATGTGACACTTATCTTTTTCTGATTGACTTATTTCACTTAGCTTGACACTCTCCAGGTCCCTCCATGCTGTCTCAGAGGGCTAGAGAGTCTTCTTCTTCTTCTTTTTTTTTTTTTACAGCTGCATCGTATTCCGTGGTATAAATGTACCACAGCTTTTTTTTTATCCACATGGCTACTGATGGGCACTTGGGCTGTTTCCAGGGCTTAGCTATTGCAATACCAGACTTTCAAACAGAGACAAGGGTCTTCCTGTCTGGGGTTCTTCTTGCCCTTCTTCTTCTACTTTTTCCCCCCAGAAAAGTTCTCAGGACTGAGATTGGTTTTTAGGCTGAGCTATTAAGATGGGCTCTGGTTGGACCAACCCTTCGAGTAGTGTGGCTGGGCTAAATGACATCTACATGCTGTAATTTTGGGTAGTCCTAGAAAGAGTCCTCCTCCCAAACGCTCTAAAATCCCTCTTCCATTCCAGGAACAGTATGTTTAAGACCCCACCATTCCTCCACCACTAGGTTCAGCATTGCCCTTTCCAGGGCCCCAGATGGGAACAGAAAGGGGAGCTATGGATATCAGCAAGACATGCGCATGCTGTCTTGCTGATGTCCTAGCTGTAGAAGATTGGACCCTGATATTCAGCACGGCTGCTGGCTCCAAGGCCATACCTGCCCCCAACCATGCACAGTGAGCTGCCTTTCTGCCCAGCATCCAGGTCTCGCGGCCCAATCTGACACTGGGAAACAGAAACTGAATCCTTCAGAGCTGCCTACAGCTGGGCCAGCATGAGCCATTCTTATGGCCAAAGGCCAGGTGTGGGTATAGCCTCCTGGGACAGGAGCAGGCCTAGGTTGGCCCAAAGAATTGGGGATAGACCAGTGGGTCTCAGAGAATGACCAGACCTGTAGGCTGGATCATCCGAAGCCCGGGGCTGGGTCTCCTGGGGAGCATGGATCTTCGGGGCCTTCCCTCGCCTTTGCTTTGATGTGCTTCCTGCAAGGACACCCTCTCTTTTCACACTTGGCTAAGTTCTATTTTGTCATCCTGCCAGGCCATTCCGGCTTCAGCCAGGCCCCGAGTGTCTGCTCAGCACTCCCCAGGTGTGCCCCCTGGTAGCCACCAGAATCAGCTGGGAGTTGTCATGAGTTTCCTGTCCCCACTTCCAGCCTCTAGGCCCTCCCCTCACTGCAGAGTCAGCATTTAATACCAGGAGGACTGCAAAGTTGGCAATATGGGTTTTGTATGTGTGCGTGGTAAATGGGCAAAGCATAAAGTGTGCTGTTTTAACCATTTTCAAGAGTACAATGCAGTGGCATTCAGTACATTCACAATATTGTGGAGCCATCACCACTGTCTATTTATAGAACTTTTTCATCATCCAAAACATACACTCTGTACCCATTACACATTAACTCCCCTCCCTGCAGCCTTTGAAAGTCTCTGTTCTGCTTTCTGTCCCTATGAATTTGCCTACTTTAGGTATCTCTTTAAGTGGAATCTTACAATATTTGCCCTCTTTGATCTGGCTGACTTCACTTAGCATAATATTTTCAAGGTTTACCCATGCTGTAAAATGTGTCAGAATTTCATTCCTTCTTATGGCTATCCCGTTGTTTTTTATCCATTCATCTGTTGATGGACACTTGGGTTGTGTTCACTTTTTGACTATTATGAATAACACTGCTATGCACCTGGGAGACCCAGGAGCAGAGTTGCTACATCACACGGTAATTCATGTCTGACTTCTTGAGGGACCACCAATAGTTTCCCACAGGGGCTGCACTATTTTACATTCCCACCAGCAGTGCACTGAGCTTCTAATGTCTCCATATCCTCTCCAACATTTATTTTCTGATTTTGTCTGTTTGTTAATAGCCATTCTGATGGGTGTGAAGTGGTAGCTCATTGTGTTCTTAGGTTGTTTTTAAAAAATATATATTTTATTGATTTTTTTACAGAGAGGAAGGGAGAGGGATAGAGAGCTAGAAATACTGATGAGAGAGAAACATTGACCAGCTGCCTCCTGCACATCCCCTACCAGGCATGTGCCCGCAACCAATGTACATGCCCCTGACAGGAATCGAACCTGGGACCTTTCAGTCTGCAGACCCACGCTCTATCCACTGAGCCAAACCAGTTTCGGTTGTTGTTTGTTTTTAATTCTCATTTGAGGATATATATATATATATATATATATATATATATATATATATATATATATATATAAAGAGAGAAAGGAAGGGAATTAAAGGGTATGAAAGAGAGGATGAAGGCAACCAATCAGTTGCCTCCTGTATGCTCCCCAACACGGGCTCGAAACTGAAACCTAGGTATGTGCCCTGACTGGGAATCAAACACGCAACCTTTTAGTCTACAGAACCAAGCTCCAACCAACTGAGCCACGCAGACAGGGTCATTGTGGTTTTAATTTGCATTTTCCTTATGACTAATGATGTTGAGCATCTGTTCATGGGCTTACTGGCCATTTTACATCATCTTTGAAGAGATGTCTATTCAAGTCCTTCTTCCATTTTAAAAATTTGGGTTGTTTAGAGTTTGTTGTTGAGATGTATAGGAGTTCTTTGTATATTCCAGATATTAATCCCTTATATATGATTCTAACCCCGTGATTTACAAATGTTTTCTCACATTCTGTGGAGTTTTCTGTTTACTCTCTTCCTAGTATCCTTTGATTCACAAAGGATATTTTGATCAAGTTCAACTTATCTATATTTTCTTCTGTTGCTTGTACTTTTGCTGTCGCACTTAAGAAATCATCGCCTGATACTAGGTCATGAATCTTTTCATCCATGTTTTCCTCTAATAGTTTTATAGTTTCAGTTATATGTGTTTCTGCCCCCTCTCCCCTTCAGGTCCATATTTCTGGCACTCCCAAGAGCCTCCCACCCTCACCAGGGTCACTCCATGGTAGAGGGTCCCTCTGCCTTCCCGTGCATTGTGTACTATAGGCAATTAACTCATGCTTGTGGGATATGTTTGTGCGGGGCCCTTGTGCCCCCCGTTGCACCTAAGCTTGCCCTGTCACCAGCTCTAAAGGCCAAAGACCACTCTCTGCGGCAAAGCCTGGGGGCTGCTGTGCCGGGCTGAGGCACACGCCTCCACTTTCAGGCTCTCACAAGATGCCAAGGACAAGGCAAGCACTGAGGTGGTTCTGGTGACTACAGGAACCCCAAAGGGGAAGTTTCAGCTCGAAGCTGCCTTCAAGCTGTACCTTGAAGACTGAATAAAGTTTCAACAGGCAGAGATGATTTGTGGTGGGGACATAGCTAGTCAGCTGGAGAGCCCGTGTGTAGCTGGGACTGACCCCAGGGTGGATGTGTGAGGAGCAGGGAGTGAAGGCGGAGCTGGGAGTAAGAAATTAGGACATTTTAGGGATATATTGGGCAATGGGGAGCCACAGGAGGTTTTTGAGCAAGGGAATGGCCCTGAAGGACAGCACTGTGCTGAAGTGCTCAATCAAGCCCCATATGGCTTATAGCTTGTAAGGCTAGAGGCAGGGAGATAAGTCTCAAGTAAGAAGCCGTTGTTCTTGCTGAGTGCCTTGGAGTAAGTCACCAGGCCTCTCTGGGTTCCAGTTCCTGTTGGCTTGGGTGGCAAGGAGGCACAGGGAGGGGCAGGGAAGTGGAGGAAAGGGAGCAACAGCTGCTCATCTGCTCTGGGGGAGTGCTCCTGAAAGGTTGGGAAAGCAGAACTTGGGGTGGGGCTTAGGGGCACCCAGAGGGTTTTCTAGTGCATTCCACCAAGTGAGGGCATAGCTGGGTACAGTCCACGCCCTGAACGTGGGCTCCCAGCTCCCAGTCGGTGGCTGCCCCAGCAGTCCTTGGAAGCCCTGCCCTGTCAGCATAGCCTGTGGGGACGCAGGGCTGACCCTTCGGCAGGCTCCGGACTGAGGTGCCTGGAGCCTCCTTAGGAGCCCCGTGTATCCAATCAGTACAGTGCACACCACTCTCTTACACACCAGGACAGGCACGAGGACCTGCTATGGGCCACCTGCTTCAGCTTCTCCACCTGGCCGCATCCATCTCGACAGGTAAGCTTTGCTGGCCTTGCTCACCTCACTGGGCCTGGCCTCCGTGAGCCCAGCCTTTGCTGGCCCGGCAGACAGACTGTGCCTGGTCTCAGGTTGGCTGTTGAGGTTGAAGGTTGGGCACAGAGAGACAGCGGCAGGGAGCAGTGATCCTCCCAGAGGACATAGCAGGGATTGGGGGTTCATCTGGGGCACCTTCTATAGGGCGGATCATGGGGCTCTGCGCTGACACTATTCTCCTGTCTGTCTGTTCCTCCCTCAGTCCTGGCCAATTGGGGTGTCTCCCGCCCTGTGGCCGTGCAGGGCGTGAAGGGGTCCTGCCTCGTCATTCCCTGCATCTTCAGTTTCCCTGACAGCGTGGAGGTGCCCCACAGCATCACAACCATCTGGTACTATGACTACTCGGGAAATCGGCAGGTGGTTTACCACTCGGGGGGCTCCCAGCAGGTAGAGGCACGCTTTCGTGGCCGTGCCCAGCTGCTGGGGAATGCCGAGCACAGGGTGTGCAACCTGCTGCTGAAGGACCTGAGCCCCCAGGACTCGGGCGCCTACAGCTTCCGCTTCGAGATCAGTGATATCAACCGCTGGGTAGATGCCACAGGCACAGCGGTCACTGTGACAGGTGAGGAGCGGGGTGGCCTGGTTGCTGCCTGCAAGGGGCTCCCAAGCTGCTTCTGGCCCCACTGACTCACAGCCCCAGTCCTTGTCCTAAACCCATCCCCAGCCCCAGGCTAGTCCCAGCCTTGTGTCCTCCATGCATGCACCCCAAGCGGGAGGGGGTAGAAAGCAGACTCTCCTTCCCGCCCAGCGCTCGTGCCTCAGCTGGGGCTTGCAGAGCAGGAGGCGTCAAGTGTGGTGATGGGGAGTCCTGAGCCTCCTGTCTTTGTCCTCAGAGGAGCCCAGTGTGCCCACCATTGCCTCACCGTTACAACTTCGCGAGGGCATGGAGGTGGACTTCAACTGCTCCACTCCCTACGCGTGCCTGCAGGAGCCCGTCAGCCTGCAGTGGCAAGGCCAGGACCCAGCTCGCTCCGTCACCTCCCAGTTCCAGAAGCTCGAGACCACGGGCATCATCCACCGGGAGACCCTCCACATGGCCCTGACCTGGCAGGACCACGGCCGGACCTTGAGCTGCCAGCTCTCGGTGGCCGGACACAAGACACAGGGCGAGATTCTCCTCCAAGTGCAGTGTGAGTGTGCTGGGGGCCACGCCCTCGTCCCTGAGCACCCAGCTGTGCCTCCCCAGAGAAAACCGGTTCCTTCTCCAGCCCATAGAAACAGAGCCCTCGCCCCTGCAGTAGGCTGGGTGCTCTCTGATCTCTTGGGTGGGGCCGGGTAGAGAGACTGCTAAGCACCAAGAGCCACCTTCAAGCTCCCTTTCACCTCTTGTCCCTGAGGCCAGGTTGGGCACAGATGGGGAGACAAAGACCCAGAGGCTGGGGGTCAGGCAGCAAGGACCTTGGGATTTAGCCCAGCTCTGGAGAATGCTGGGAGGTGGGGTCAATCCTTTGTGGCCTAGCGCTGCTCACATCCACGGTGATCAGGGCATCACTCGGACATGGCAAAGAGGCCGTGGGAGAAAGACGAGTTTCCACTTGAGTGAGCATCTTCCCATCACAGAACAATGGGGCGGATTTTTCTAGAACAACGGCTATCCACAGGCTGACATGACCATCCACTAATAAGCAAACTTTGGGCAAGTTGCTTGCGTCTCAGAGCCTCCGTTTTCTCATCTACATGAGGGGTGGTAACAACAAATGCCGGTTCCTTTCTCATAGAGTTTGCTATGAAAATTGGAGGAGTGCTTGGCACATACCAACTAGTCAAATATATTAGCTTTTACTATCTTCATCTCTACGCAGATCAAGGACTTGAAAATGTGAGCTTTTATTAGCACATTTTCACCGTGAGAAGCTTTGAAACGAGATCCTAAAACATGCAGCCTCTTTGTGTTGTTGGCGCCCTCTTTACAAATGGGTTAACCATTCTCAGAGCTAATGCGACTGTCTTTGGCTCCCTCCATCAGGTGCTTTGTCCCTTACCAACAGCTACCACAGGCCACCAAGGCAAACAGTGTGGTACCCATGACCCCCCACATCGGACAGAGGACATTGGACGTTGTCATGAGGCAGAAAGCCCTGGAAGGCAGTGGGGGCTGGACAATAGGCCACACATTGCATTATCAGACTCTCAGTGATGTAGGAAGGAATTAGCAACATAAAATGGGGTTCAGCACAGCCGGGGACAGAGGAACTAATGGGACTGAGGATTTATGTGGGCGGGCTTCCTTAGGGCAGGGTGCTGACAGAGAGTGGGTTACTCCTTCCCAGCCAAGGCTCCTTACCTCACACCCTACCCATCATGCCTTGCAGATGCCCCCAAAGCTGTGGAGATCCTCCTCAGCCCCTCGGAGGGGAACATTCGCTCAGGTGATCTGGTCACACTCACCTGCAGGGTGAGCAGCAGCTACCCCACGGTCAGTTCTGTGCAGTGGCTCAAGGATGGGACGCCCCTCAAATCCCAGAGTTTTGTGCTGCAGTTGCCCCAGGCATCCTGGGACGATGCTGGAGTCTACACCTGCCAAGCCAGGAATGAAGTTGGCTCTTCAGTCTCACCCCCTTTCAGCCTCCACATCTTCAGTGAGTCCTGGGTGAACCTGGGTCTTGACAGAGGGTGGGGAAGGGGTCCAGGCCATAGGGGCTGAGGAGAGTCAGGTCAGGGTGCCTTCTCAGACAGAGGACAAACCTCCCTGGCAGGGTGAGGTGTCAGGAGGGTCCTCATGACCAGGACAGACACAGCAGGCTCCACTGCAGAAGGGTGTGATGTAAACCATGCAGATTAAGCTGAGCGGCTGCAAACCCGGGATGCTGAGGAGTTGGGCCTGCAAGTCAGGTGGGTACCCCCAGTGTGCCCTCCGCTGCCCCCACAGTGGCTGAGGTCGAGATGAGCCCAGCAGGCCCCATCCAGGAGAACCAGACAGTGACGCTGACCTGCAACGTGCCTAAAGAAGCACCCAGCGGGCTGCGCTACAGCTGGTACAAGAACCATGTCCTGTTGGAGGATGCTCACAGCCCTACCCTCCAGCTGCGCTCGGCTACCAGGGCCGACACCGGCTTCTACGTCTGTGAGGTGCAGGATACCCATGCCAGGGAGCGCTCTAAGCCCGTCAGCGTGGTGGTCATCCGTAAGTGACCAGTGTGTGGCAGACACTGCTGGAGCCGGTCCAAGGGGTGAGGCGCCTGCAGGCAGGTTAGGTCCTGGGCCGGGTGGCCTTGAGCTCTGCACACCTGGGCAAGGCTTGGACCTCCCTGGGCCTCTGTTTCCTCTGATTTAAAAAATTTTTATTTTGAAATAAGTTAAAACTTCCAAAAAGATTACAAAGAATTATCATATACAGTACCTTTAATTTAAAGTCCCAATTAGTTTCCCTGGCTGGTTTGGCTCAGTAGATAGAGCAACAGCCCGCGGACTGAAGAGTCCTGAGTTTGATTCTGGTCAAGAGCTCATGCCCGGGTTGTGGGCTCCATCTCCAGTTGGGGGCATGCGGGAGGCAGGCAATGATTCCCCATGCATTGAGCCAAATCAGCTAGGGCTCCCCATCTTTAAAGAAGGGTTCCTGATTCCCACTCTTGGGGTCATCACAAGGATCGACCAGATCACGGATTTGCAGGAGGGTGGGTCAGTGAACTACAAGCGAGCGGGGGAAAAGCTACAAGCTAGGGGGGGTGGAAGGAGAGGAACTATAGGAGGGCGGCAGAGAGCTACTGGCGCATGGATTCGTGTGCAGGGAATCCTGGGAGTCCCCTGTCTGAGGGTCACAGGCCTTTCTCCATACAGACCCACCCCTTGCCCCCCACCTAACTGCCTTCCTGGAGATGAAGGCAGGGCTGGTGGGCATCCTCCAATGCTCCGTGGTCAGTGAGCCCATGGCCACCCTGGTGCTGTCACACGGGGGACTTGTCCTGGCCTCTACCTCTGGCGAGGATGACCTCGGCCCACGCTTCAGTGTCTCCTCTGCCCCCAACTTTCTGCGCCTGGAGATCCGAGACCTGGGGCTAGCCGACAGCGGGGACTACACGTGCACAGCCACCAACTCCTTTGGGAACACGTCCTCCACCCTGGACTTCCAAGCCAATGGTAAGATGGCCGGCGGGGCTGGTGGGAGGGAGCCCAAAGAGCAGGCCTGCTCTGGCCTCCTCCTCCTGGGAGTCCAGAGGGCTCAGCTGAGGGGCTGAACTAGCTGGATCCTAAAATTCACATCAAGGACCCAGGCTATACAGTCATATCCCAACATGGGAGGCTCATGGAAGTCAGGGCAACAAGGGAAACATGGCAGGTTGTCCTAATCCTTTCGTGTACGTCCTGACTCTGAACTTGGAAGGTCTCTCATATGCTTTCATTTGTTTCTTATTTATCACATGTTTGGGGCAGGTTCTGTGCTAGATAGGAGTCAGATGCAGGAGGCACAATGGGATAGCGTCTTCCAACTCTTGGTATCTGTGCTTGGTACCTCATTCTGAGGCCACGGCAGACATAGCTAATGGATTAAGCCAGATGTTTGACACAAGCCTGGGTTCTAGCTCAGAATCCTTCTCAGCCGCGCTGGAGCCAGTTACTATCAATAGGTCAGAATGGGCCTCCAAGGCCAAACCCTCCTGAAGCCCAGACCTACCTACAATTGTCGGGGCGGGGGAGGGGGGAATGCTGCAGGGCTTCCGGCAGTGGGTGGCATGGGGCCACAGATGTGCAGCGAGCTGAGCCTCCCCGTCTCCTTCTGCTAGCGGCCCACCTCCTCATCAGCCCAGCAGCAGAGGTGGTGGAAGGGCAGATGGTGACGCTGAGCTGCCGGAGTGGCCTGAGCCCAACGCCTGACGTCCGCTTCTCCTGGTACCTGAACGGAGCCCTGCTTCTCGAGGGGCCCAGCAGCAGCCTCCTGCTCCCCGCGGCCTCCCGCTCTGATGCCGGCTCATACTACTGCCGCGCCCAGGACAGCCACGGCGCCAGCGGGCCCTCCTCGCCTGCCGTCCTCTCAGTGCTCTGTGAGCAGCCTCCCCACTGGCCCCTGCCTGTCTTGGGGAGGATGGATCAGTCCACTGGGGTCCGCCAGCCATCCCTCCCTCCTCTTGGCCTCCTGCCCCCGTCCCGCCCAGGGTCTAGACCAGGCGGGCAGCCACAGGCCTAGGCACCATGGACCTCTCCACCCAGGGCTACCATTTGGGGAACAAGGCTAGGGATTGTAAACCTCCCCATGGCCCATCTCCAATCCCAGACAGCTTAGAGACCTCTGTGCCTGGCCTCAAACCCACCATGGATACCATGGCAGAGCAGGGCCATGGGACGTCATACTCCTATGCGCTGTATGCGCCCACACCCCACAGGCTGTGCCCTCACAGGCCCCCAGAGACGTGAAAGCAGAACCTCTCGGCACAGGAACTGAGTCTGGTCAGCAGTGGCTGTTCCATATTCGCCTGAGGGGCCCGCCAACATTCAGGGCACCAATATCCGGGACCCCCTCCCCTGACATGAGCAGGAGCAACATCCTGGGACTGTTAGGGACTGTCAGGAAGAGCAGCCACCTCTTAGGGGTTTTCGAGCATCAGGGTGAGATCACGTGGAGGCCTTGCTGATGGCTGTCCTTGACCACCCACCTCCGGAAGCCTCCAGAAAGAGGCACCTTAGGCATTGCCTATTATCCTGAGTAGAGCTGGCTTGAAGACCAGAGATAAGGGGAAGGGTCATCCTGGGGGAAGGGATGGGGTGCAGAGAGAGCAGAGGCAAGATTCCCAGGGATTGCTATGCGGGAGCCCTGCTCAGGAGCACGTGGGAGGTAGGCAGGTGACTGCCAGCCCACAGGGTACCTTTGTTCCCCGAGAAAACGCCCTTCTTCCCCTGGGAAGATTCCATACAGCCCTAAGGCATGGGGGAGTCCGAGGGCAGAGGCTGGATCCCACCCACCCTGGCCTGCTTGTCCCTGTCAGTGCCCAGCTGTGTGTGGCAGCCCTGGGATCAGGCCTTGGCCCAGTGTCTTCTGGGATCCCGGGCAGCCCTGGCAGAGGCTGTGGCCTTCCATGAGTGCCCCCGCTCTTCCTCCCTGCAGACGCCCCCTGCCGGCCCACCCTCACCGCCCGGCTGGACCCCTACACTGAGGGCCTCGGAGATGGCCGTCGAGGCTTCCTGGAGTGCCGTGTGGACAGCAACCCGCCCGCCCAGCTGCGGCTGCTCCACGGGGACCGTGTAGTGGCTACCTCCCCGGTACCGGGGGGCGGGTGCAGCACGTGTGGGGGCTGCTCCCAGCGCGTAAAGATCAACCGAGCCCCGAACCTGCTGGGCGTGGAGATTCTCGACCCCGTGCTGGAGGACGAGGGTGTGTACCTGTGCGAGGCCAGCAACACCCTGGGCAACGCCTCCTCCTCCGTGACCTTCGATGCTCAGGGTGAGTCGGGGCAGGGGCAGTGGCACAGGGTCAGGGGCCAGGATTCCGCTGAAACCCTGTTCTGCTGGAACCCTGGCTCCAAGAGGCTCCATCCAGTGGAACCACCTTGTTCAGCTGCGGAAGTTTGCTTGCTTCCCACCCCTGTCCAGTGGGCACTCCCGAGGGTCTCCTTCCTGCCCCCTCCAGGCCGGGAGGCTGGCCCCCTGGCCCCCAGGGTTGCGGGGAAGCAGTCAAAGTGAGGCCCTGTCTCACGGGGGCCTGTGCTGCCTGCTCTCCAGCCACCGTCCTGGTCATCACTCCGTCGCACTCGCTGCCAGAGGGCACCGGCGCCAACCTGACTTGCAGTGTTCGACGGGAAGCCGGTGGAGGCCCTGCCAACTTCTCTTGGTTCCGGAACGGGGCACTGTGGACCCAGGGCCCCCTGGAGACGGTGACGCTGCTGCCCGTGGCCAGAACAGATGCCGCTCTCTACGCCTGCCGCGTCCTCTCTGAGGCCGGCACCCAGCTCTCCGGCACCCAGCTCTCCGCCCCCGTGGTCCTGAGTGTGCTCTGTGCGTCACGGGCAAGGGCAACATTGGCACCTGGAGGGGTGGTCTGGGAGGAATCGGGCTGGGCTGGGATTGGGGAGACAAGCACGTGGCTTGGGCTGGGGAAGGGTGGGCCGGGACTGTGTGTGGAGGGGGCGGTGGGACACGATGTGGCAGCTGGAACGTGGTGAGCTGGGCTGGGGGTGGCCTCAGCGTCTCCCTGTCCCTGCAGATCCCCCGGACCCTCCGAAGCTGTCAGCCCTCCTGGACGTGGGCCAGGGCCACACGGCTGTGTTTGTCTGCACCGTGGACAGCAGTCCGCCGGCCCAGCTGACCCTGTTCCGTGGGGAACACCTCTTGGCTACCAGCCTGGGGCCCCAGCTCCCATCCAGTGGCCACTTCCATGCCAAGGCCATGGCCAACTCCCTGCAGCTAGAGATCCGAGACCTGGGCCTTGGGGACTCTGGCAGCTACCGCTGTGAGGCCACAAATGACCTCGGATCAGCCAACACCTCCCTCTTCTTCCAGGTCCGAGGTGAGTGTCAGTCCTCTGGTGATGCGGTAGAAACAGATGCCCTGGGACCATTCTGGCCAGGCAAGAAAGTGAGGTCTTTTTCAGGCCTGGTTTCTGGATGGTTTCCACTAACCCACAGAGGTTTCCCCTTGTCTCCAGCTAGACATTTTCACCTGCAATAACCATGGCAGCCACTAGGAGGTGGTGGCAATTGTGCAAGGCAGTTTGCTTGATTGGAGCAATTTCTAACAGATAACTTTTTATGTAATTGTATAATTTTGTTAGATAATAAGTACCTTATACAAAATCTAACATTTTTGTACATTATGCATATACATGTGTAATATATGCACACCAATGTAAGTACATTCATATGCATATACAGATGTGCCCATATGCATAAAAATATATTCACATATCTATATATATATATAAAACCTAAGCAACCAAATGACCGAAAGACCAAATGACTGAACAGTCAACCGATTGCTAAGATGTGCACTGACCACCAGGGAGCAGACGCTCCCACAGCCCATCTCCCTGGCTAGTCAACCTTCTGCCTTCCCTCTCCCCAGGCCAGCTGGTACCCCTACCCCCCCCCTCCCATTTGCCCCAATCTGAATTTGTGCCCGAGGCCTCTAGTTTTTCTATAAAAATTCTCCCTACGTGAATAAGCTGGGGAAAAGGAAAGTTAATATCCATAATACTACAAAGGATAAAGAAAAACATACAATTTTTCTCTCACAATGACAAACATCAATTTGTGAACATTTGCCTTGGGCCTTGGTTCTATACATCTTTTCTTATTTATTATACTCATTTTACAGGCAGAGAAATTGCGGGTCAGAGCTTTAGAAGCTTGCTCCTGATCACATGACTAGCAGGTGGCCCTGTCAGCTTGGGACTAATTTGGTTTGGTTCCCAGGCATAGCCTGTGCTCTCAGTCACCACTCCAGCTGTCCCTCCATCTCCCCTTCCCCTCACCCCCAGCTTGGTCTCATCCTGCCTTAGACCCAGGGGGCACTAGGAACTGCCCTTTGCTTAGTCTCCAGTTCCTGGGCTCTCATGACCTTGAGCCTGGCTGCAGAGCCGGCTAGAAAGAGCTAGAGGGAAAAGATCACACTTCCCCTTCTAAGCCCTAAGTCACCCATGCTGAGCTCAACTCATGATCAGGACAATGGCCCTTGGCAGGATTTAGTATTTTATGGTGCCAAACCAACACTTGCCAAGAGCTAAGTGCAAGCACTGTAGCTGGCACTGGGTTGCAGGTCATATAAGTGTGTTGGACCCTCGAGAGGCCCACCTTCTGGTAGGCGAGGTGTGATTGACAGAGCAAAGCCATACCTCAAGGTGGTAAACGCCAGAAGAGATCCATGCAGGGAAGTTGGGAGCAGGAGAAACCAAGGCATGGGATGAAATTAGCACAGGTTTGGGGTCATGCGGTCTTGGTGTGGATGACACCCAGCCCCGGACTGTGGAAGGATATGGCGGAGGGTCCTCACTTGCTCTTGATTTCTTCCGGCAGGAGCCTGGGTCCAGGTGTCACCATCACCCGAGCTCCAGGAGGGTCAGGCCGTGGTCCTGAGCTGCAAAGTACCCACGGAGGCTCTGGAAGGAACCTCATACCGCTGGTTTCATGATGGCCAGCCTCTCCAGGAGTCGACCTCGGCCACACTCCGCTTTGCAGCCATAACTTTGAGCCAAGCCGGGGCCTATCACTGCCAAGCCCAGGCTCCGGGCTCAGCCACCACAAGCCTGGCCACCCCCGTCAGCCTCCACGTGTCCTGTAAGTACTTCTGTACTACGTCTGTTTCTTGGAGTGTGAAGGAGCCAAGGGTGTGGATGGGGGAGGGGATACTGATCCCCGGTCTTGGGCTCTGCCTCCACGAGAGAACCTTAAGATGAGGGACCACCTGGCCAGACCCTGACCACTCCCCACTTTGTGTAGATGCCCCACGCCAGGCCACACTCACCACCCTGATGGACACTGGCCCTGGGCGACTGGGCCTCCTCCTGTGCCGTGTGAACAGCGACCCTCTGGCCCAGCTACGCCTGCTCCGTGGGGACAGCCTGGTGGCCTCCACCCTTCAAGGCGCAGGGGAACTGGCAGGCAGCTCTCCCAGGATGACGGTGGCTGTGGCCCCCAACACACTGCGCCTGGAGATCCGCGACGCAGGGCTGGAGGACGAGGGAGTCTACACCTGCGAGGCCACCAACACCCTCGGCCAGACCTCGGCCTCAGCCAGTTTCGATGCCCAGGGTCAGTGTGGGGGTGTATGTGGGTGGGTGGCTCCCGTAAGAGGAGAGAAGCTTGCTCAGAGAGGCTTCTGGAAGGTTGGGCACAGGCAAGAGGGCTGGTCACAAAGATAGTCCCCATTCCCACCTTTTTTAAGAGCAGCAGTCTCCAAACTTGGGTTTCATGGAAGAACTTTTTTCAAAAACCAAATTTTGTGTGGATGCCCAGCGGACAAAACTAATCAGAAAGGGGGTGCTCAAGGAGAAACCACAGCAGGGCCAGGGAGGCCTGGATTCTCCCATGTGCTCCCCACCAGGGCCAGGGTGGGCTCCGCAGACTCTGCTTGGGATCAGCTGAAAGATGATGAGTTGTTTACCAAGCTCCACCTCTGAGCCCGTACACAGGCGGGCCACCTGTGCCCCCCCAGAGGCCGAGGGAGGGGCGTCCCTCCTCATGGAGACAGGTGGCTGTTTACACAGCCTCACGACCCTCACTGGTGTCATGTCTCTGTGCCCTCCTCTCTCCAGCTGTGAGTGTGCAGGTGTTGCCAAAGGCCAGCGTGCAGGAGGGCCAGCCGGTGAACCTGACCTGCCTTGTGTGGACCAGGGACAAGGCTCAGCTCACCTACACCTGGTACCAAGACGGGAAGCAGCGCCCAGGTGCCCACTCCATCTACCTGCCCAATGTCACAGTCACCGATGCTGCCTCCTACCACTGTGGTGTGGTGACCCCTGGCCAGGCACCACGCTTCTCCGGACCTGTCATCCTTGATGTCCTCTGTGAGTGGTTGATGGCAGGGTGGAGCTGGAAGGAATGACAGAAGCTTCCAGAAATCAGGGCATGGCCAGAGGCCCAAATTGGGAACTCAGTTCCAGAACTCAGCCAGCTGATGGAGCCCTTCACAGGAGCATGAAAGTCGGGCAAGGGGGGATGGACACGCGTATGATCGGTCCCACAGCAGTGCCCCAGATGAGCAAGTGGAAGCACTTGGGGTGGGAGGCCCAGGCCCTCCTGGTTTGAATGGCGCCTACAAACGCCTCCTCATGGCTGAGGCCTCTGAACTCTGTCCACGTCTTTCGTGCTCCTGTAGATGCGCCCCGCAGCCTGCGCCTGACCTACCTCCTGGAGAGTCGTGGTGGGCGGCTGGCCCTGCTACTGTGCACTGTGGACAGCCACCCACCCGCCCAGCTGGCCCTCAGCCATGCTGGTCGCCTGCTGGCCTCCTCGACCGAAGCCTCTGTGCCCAACACCCTGCGCCTGGAGCTGCGGGAGCCCAGGCCCAGGGATGAGGGTCTCTACAGCTGCTCAGCCCGCAGTCCTCTGGGCCAGGTCAACACGTCCCTGGAACTGCGGCTAGAGGGTGAGGCAGGGCTCAGGTCGAGGCCACCAGGGGTGGGATCCACTCTGGTGTGTCTGGCTGGGCCCCGCTGACCCTGGCCTCCTTGGGACAGGCGTGCAGGTGACCCTGGCTCCGTCAGCCGCTGTGCCCGAGGGGGCCTCCATCACAGTGACCTGTGAGGACCCTGCTGCCAGCCCACCCACCCTCTATACCTGGTATCACAACAACCGTTGGCTGCAGGAAGGGCCCTCCACCTCCCTCTCAATCCCGGTGGCTACGAGGGCTCATGCCGGTGCCTACTCATGCCAAGTCCAGGATGCCCAGGGCACACGCAGTTCCAGGCCTGCAGCCCTGCAAATCCTCTGTGAGTAGGGGTCCTTGAATAGGGGTCCACAGGGTGGTGGAGGGCACGTTTGGGCCTCGATGAGGGTGGGCACAAGATTTCAGTGGGCTGGGAATGGGCACTTGGGGAAAGAAGGACATAGATGGTGGGGAAAGAGGCCCCGGGTCCCTGTGACCCCTGCCTGAAGAATCTTCCCACGGGACTCCTGAGAAGGTGGCACTTCTAGGAAATGACTTTGTCCAGAGGCTTCAGCCTCACCAATGCCAGGAGGGTGGACAATGGATAGTGTAGGATTTCCAAGCAATGACCCCAACTGTGCCCTGCCCACCCCCAGATGCTCCTCGGGATGCAGTCCTGTCCTCCTTCCGAGACTCAAGGGCCAGCCCCATGACTGTGGTGCAGTGCACCGTGGACAGCGAGCCACCTGCCGAGCTGGCCCTGTCGCGGGATGGCAAGGTACTGGCCACCAGCCACGGGGCCCATGGCTTGGCATCGGGGACGGGCAATGTCCAGGTGGCCCGCAACGCCCTGCGGCTACAGGTGCAAGATGTGCCCTCAGGTGATGAGAACACCTATGTCTGCAAGGCCCACAATCTGCTGGGCTCAGTCAGCACCACAGGGCAGCTACAGGCAGAAGGTGAGTGGGCGATGCAGGAGGAGACGGGCTCAGGTGCTGGGGGTCGAAGTCCACGTGGAGGGGGGTTGACTGGCCTGAAAGAATAGATACAGCTTCGCCTGATCTGATGGAAGAGGAACAGCTCCCGCTGGAGAGGGTTGCACAGCCTGAGGGAGAAATAGTCTTACCCTTGGAGAGCTCCCTCTGAGATGGAGGTGTAACGATGGCCAAGAGAAGCTTGGGAGCAGAGGAGACATAACCCAGCTCTCACAGAGCGCAGTCTGGGGACAGTGCACAGACCCTCCCCAGGGAAACCTGGGTGGGAAAAGGGAGAGTCCTACCCTCAGCAGGCTGAGGGAGGAGGTGCAGACTCACCCTTGGGGAGTCCAGTCTGAGGGTAGGACACAGCCTCATCCATCAGAACATCTAGTTTGGTGTTAAAGGGCAGCACAGCCCGGCCCTGGAGGTCCCTAGTGTGAGGATGAGAGACAGCCCTGTTCTCAGAGACCTCAGTCTGATGGGGACACAGTCTCACCTTTGGGGCTCAGATTCCAAGTCAGATAAGAATTTCCCACAATGCACAGAGGCCTCTCAGATCTCCCTCAGATCCCACCTAGGCCTGCAGATCCCCAACCACTTCCTGGTCCTTGGCCCGCAGGTGTGCATGTGGTGGCCGAACCAGGCCTGGATGTGCCGGAGGGTGCCGCACTGAACCTGAGTTGTCATCTTCCTGGTGGCCCCAGGCCCATGGTCAACTCCACTTTCACTTGGTTCTGGAATGGTCGGCAACTATATGCAGAGCCTGTGCCCACCCTTTCCTTCTCCTACGTGTCCCGTGCCCAAGCTGGAGTGTACCACTGCCGGGCTGAGCTCCCCACGGGGACCACCACCTCTGCTCCAGTCATGCTCCGTGTGCTCTGTGAGTGTGACACAACGCCTCCCTCCCCCAGTTTCCCTACTACTCACATGCCCACCTCAAGTCTTCTTCCTCTTCTGCCTGCAAAGAGCAAGGACTTCACAGTCATGGAGTCCTGGACTGAGGGACTCCTATTGCCTTTTTGTGCATCTGTGCCTTGGTTTCCTCATCTGCAAATGTCAGTCCCCTCACCTTGTGAGGCGTATAGTAGATAAAGCATGCAGAATGCCTGGCACACAATTAGCCTTCATCAACCTTGGTTCTCTATTCCATTTTCCACCAGGGCCTCATGCTGTTTCAGTCAGCTACTGCTGTGTAACAAGCCGCCCCAAAACGTAGTATTAAAAAAAAAAATAGCCATTTATTTTATCACAATTCTATCAACCGGAAAGTCCTTCTTACATTTTGACTTTCTTCATTCTGTTCTTACATTCCTTTCTGAGCAGTTTTGCTGGTTTCACTTAATGTGGCTGCAATTGTCTAATGGCTGAACTGTGGCTACATGGTCTAGGATGGCTTCACTCTCGAGGCTGGTGGTTGGGGCTGGCTGCTGGCTGGACCACATGTGTTCAACAGGCCTGCCTGGGCTTCCCACATGCTTGTATCCCAAGGAGAGCAGAAGCTGTGAGGACTTTTAGATCTATCCTTGAAGTTACACAATGTCACTTTTGCCTTCCAATGGTCAAAGCGAGTCAAGGAGTGAGGAAACAGGCTCTTAACGGGAGGGGCAGCCACATCACCTTGCACGGGTACAGGGAGGAAGGGATTTGTGGTTGTTTTCTATAATCACCACACTCTCTGTCTTCCCGCAGACCCTCCCACGACACCCACCATGACGGTCTTTGTGGAACCTGAGGGCGGCATCCAGGGTATTCTGGACTGCAGAGTGGACAGCGAGCCCCTAGCCAGCCTGACCCTCCACCTTGGCAGTCGAGTGGTGGCCTCCAGCCAGCCCTTGAGCGCTCCAGCAGAGCCCCACATCCACGTCTCAGCCACCCCCAACGCCTTGAGGGTGGACATTGAGGAGCTGAGGCCCAGTGACCAGGGAGAATACGTGTGCTCTGCCTCCAATGTCCTGGGCTCCGCCTCTGCCTCCACCTACTTTGGAACCAGAGGTGAGGGAGGGCTCCATTTCCCGGGCCACCCTACACAAGACCTGGCGCTCAGGTCCCAAGGCTTCCTTCTGAGGTTTTCCCTGAATCTCTTCAGCTTGTCTGTCTGGTCTAGATGGGTTGCTTGAAGCTCCTTTGCATGGGGACTCTCCTGACCTAAAGTGAAAGTTAGAAAAGATTTCACCTTGGGAAGGTCACTTGGGAAGGAGCTTTGAAGGCCTGGCGCCATAGCTGTCCCCTGAGCTGTCTCCTGTGTTCCAGCCCTGCATCGCCTGCACCTGTTCCAGAGCCTACTCTACTTCCTGGGGCTGCTGGCTGGCCTCCTCGTCCTCCTGTTGGCCCTGGGAGCCTGCTACGTCTGGAGGTGGGTACAGAGCTGGAGGGTGGATGGGGCCACCTCAGCCTTCTCTCTTTTCCCCTAACATTCCCCCATGTCCTTTCTACCAAATTCACAGGCTCCATACCTTCTAGCCTGTCTTCTTTCCTTCCCACGTTCCAAATTCTGGCATCTTTTCTAGAATTACCTCTAAATCCACCTTGCTGTAGTTTTCTTCTTTCCTTATCTCTACCGTGTCTGTGCTGAAGAAAGGACTGGGCGGGAAGAAAGATTAGGTACCCCACTCCCCACAATGCTCCCCTCTGCTTGGTGCAGTGAGCAGTCTGGGACAAGCATGTAGGGCGGGTGAAGGAAATGGGGACAGGCAGGGAGAGGAGAGGCTGTCTGAGTCCACTCTTGCCCTCGCAGGAGACGTTTTCATAAGCTGAGAATGGGTGAGAATTCCGTGGAGATGGCTTCTCAGAAGGACATCATGCAGGTATCTAACCACCATGTGGGCACAACATTCGCAATGCCCGGCTACCCCACAGTGCAGGGCTGGCCCCTAGAAACTGCTCTCATTTTTAGGCTGGTTTCTGGGGGTAAGGGGAGTCGGGGGAGAGAATATAGAGATCCAGGGCCCCTTGAGAAGACAGGGGGAGCCGTCTTCTGATCAGGGCAGAGAGAAACCACGTGTTTTCTGTGCGGCTGGCTGGATGACTGGGGCAGACATTCTGAACTTAGCAGCAACACCTCCACTTTCAAGACACATCTTGGAATGCCACCTGTGTTTTGGCGTCTCTCTGCCCATCACCTGGGCAAGAGTGAAAAACTGTTTATCCTTCTCCTTGATGGTCCCCTTCTGCAGAAAACCCATTTGGTGGGACAGGGCTTCTAGCCATGCACATTCTCACCAATTCCCTTGAGACCCTTACCCAAGGCTTGGGGTCTGGGGGACTGCCCTCCAGAGTTAGGGATCAGGTGATGACATCTCCCAGAATCCTTCTGTGACCAGGGTTTTCTCTAAGGGAAACTCATGGATCCTGATGCAGCCACATTTGGGACTTTATCCTGTGCTCTACCCCTGAGCTGACCGTGTGGCATTGCCTCCCTTTAGGAGGAGGACTCCAATGGAATCTCTGATGACTTGGTCCTGGTAAACAAGGCTGCAATGGATCCTGACCCCCTCTGTGAAAAAAACGCTGTGACATCTAACATTCTATGACCTGATTCCAAACCTCTTGCCCCCAAGGAAATAGGTGGTGAGAGTAGGGAGTGAACCCTAATATACCCAGGAGGATGTTGACCTTGGAGGACACTGAAGAAAAAGGAGTTGATCATGTTGTCCACTTCTTCTCTTTTCTCTGAATCTCATCTCTCCATTTATCTTCCAATATACCTCCTCCTCACATCCTTCTTGTCCAAACCCATTCTGGACTGTTTGGATGGATTAGAAGAGGAGCTTTCTACTCCTCACACTGTACTAGCACTCTGTACTAGCTATAATATAAGTGCTCTAACAAGAGACCAAATACAGTAACTTCAACTTGAGAAAATTTTATTTCTCTCTCCCATATTAGTCTGGATATGTTATTGTGGTTTAAATTGCTGGTGCTCTGGTTCCTTCTAGCTTATCTTGATTGTGAGGGTTCACAATGACCATACTGCATTCACATTCTCTCCAACAAGAAGAGTGGAAGTCGAAGGTACACCATTCCCATTGTGGACATAAATGAATGTTGCACAAGTCATATCCACTCACTTCTCATTGGCTAGAGTTTAGTCACATGGCCACTCGAGGCTGCAAGGGATTATGGGAAATGTAGTTTTTATTTTATTCCTAACTATAGCTTCATCCCTGAGACTTTTGACAATGATAAGAATGCTGCTAGCAGGGCAAATTCTATTTCAGTGCCAATCTGCTGAAGGGAAAGCCATGGCCATGGGTTTCCTAGAGGAGGCAGTCCTCCTCAAACATTAAGACTGAGGAAAACAAGAAGATTTGATGGTCCCTAGGGAGAGGGCATGCCAGGCAGTGGGGTTGCCTGAGCAGACATCTTGTGCCAGATCTGGTCCCTGGAAGAAGAGGTGCCCCCATCTGCTTCCCTAGCCCTAGGGAACAGACACAATGTCGTCAGCATCCTTCTTTTTGCTCCAGGTACATTCCTCTCCATGATCCAATGAGTTCACGTCCTCTTCCTGGAGGTTCCTGCCAGGGGCTGTAAAGATGAATGAGGGTCATCAAGAAGTAATAATGTGCTCCCAGGAAGTCAGTACCTGAGGGGAGCCAGTTCTTTGGTAGGCTAGTGACTCTCCTGGTAGACTGGTCTCAGGTGGTGGGAAGAACAGAGAGCCCACTGCTCTGGGCTTTGGATTGAGAAAATGGGGAGTAATGGGACATTAGCACAGACCTAACAGGTTGGGAAGAAATGGGAGGACTAATGAGCTCCATTAGCAGTGGTTGGGACCCTTCTTGGTCCAAGGTCCCATTCTTTTTAGTGCCTCATGGTTAGACCCTTCCTGGGGAGCCTGTCTGGTGTTTCCTTCCAGTAAACCTCCATCCTACAATATAACTGGAGTGAGTCTTTTTCTTGCACCTCTATGTGGGAGGCAACTAATTGAAGAGTCTTTCTCACATCGATGTTTCTCTCTCTGTGTTTCTTCCCCTCCCTCTCTCTAAAAAAAAGCAATGAAAAAATATCCTCGGGTGAGGTTTAACAAAAACACACAAAAGCACAATAGAATGGATAAATGAATTGTGCTATGTTCACTCAGTTGAACATTATACAGCAGTTAGGAACTACAACTACACAATGTTTAGCAAAATATTGAGTGAAAGGAGTCGGACACTGAACAGTGTAGACTGCATGATTCCATTCTTGTGAAGTTCAAAGCTAATCAATGGTGATGAAAGTCAAAATAGTGGTTACGTATGAGGGAAGGTAATGATCAGATGGGACCAACAAAGGGATTTCGGGGATCAGTCAGTGTGCTGTTTCTTGGTCCGGGTGCAGGTTTTAAAGGTGGATTCACTTTGTGAAAAGTCATTGAGCTGGGCTCTTAGGACACATTTTTCTGAAAATATAACTAACAGTATTTGAATAAGATGTTTTTTTAAAAAAATCTTGCACCTTTTATGTTGGGTGTCTAGGAAAGCTTAACTAAATTCTGGCGGAGTACAGATTCTCTTAAAGCACCTTCTTCACTTTGCCAAAAGAAGAGGCCCTCCATTAATAGGTCTATGCTCAACCACTGAACACACCAGCCTTGTACCAATTCTAGATGTTGGTGAGAATGTAGAGAAACTGGAACTCTCATGCGTTGCTGGTGGGAATGTAAACTGGTACAGCCACTTTGAAAAGGTTTCTTAAAAAATTAAATTATGCCCTTACCATAACACCCTGCATTTCTACTTTTATCAAAACCTATCCAGCCCTAACCAGTTTGGCTCAGTGGATAGAGCGTCGGCCTGTGGACTGAAGAGTCCCAGGTTCAGTTTTGGTCAAGGGCATGTACCTTGGCTGCAGGCACATGCCCAGTAGGAGGTGTGTAGAAGGCAGCTGATCAATGTTTCTCATCGATGTTTCTAGCTCTCTGTCCCTCTCCCTTCCTCTCTGTAAAAAATCAATAAAATATATTTAAAAAAATAAATTATATATATATATATATATATATTATATATAATCTAATTGCACGTCATATAAGGTGCATCATATTGTATGTAAATTGTACCTTAATAATTATGAGAATAGTGATAATGACCACTCCAAATTCACTGAGTAGTCTCATTATCACTATAGAAGAATCTCCAAGGTGTATTAAGTGTTAAAAAAAAAAATCAAGGTGCAGAAAAATGTTAATCAGAGAAAAGTATGTCTGTATTATCTCGGGAATGGATAAAATAATCTAAAAGCCTATCCTAATAATTAGTGGCTTCCTGATGGGGGATGTGAGCTGAGAAGGTGGACACAGAAGAGGGAGGGATGTTACCTAAACATCTTACACTTTTTGATGTGTGAATTAGGCGAACATAGATTTCCCTTGCTGCTGAAACTCTTACTAACTGAATTGCCACGCTCCGATTTCTCAACAACAAATACATTGGCTTAAAAGTTAATATCCCTCCCTATGGGAATACTTGCAACTTCGAGTTTACTGATCAGTGCACAAACAAGCCTTTAAAACCAGAAGCAGATGTTACCGCGGCCGAAAGGACCCCTAAGATCCGGGAGTGTATGGTTTTGTACCCCCCAACCCCACCCCAGGCCAACGCCGGGGACTTAGGGCTCCCTCCCCACCCAACCCCCACCCCACCTACCCTGCCTGTGAGCCAGCCAGTCTCCCCTCGCCAGCCCGGGCGCTCCGCGGGGCGGGGCTGGCGACCCGGGGACACAGAGACCAGTGCGGGCCGCGCCGCACCTGTCAGGGCTGCCCCCCGCCGCCCTGCTCCTACCGGTGCTCTCCAGGGCGCCTCTGGGCAGAACTGGTGACGAGGAGGGGGCAGAGGTCCGCCCAGGAGGCCACGGAGCGGGGACGCTCCATGGGCAGACCCGAGCGGCGACAGGTGGCCTTTGTCCCCTCCGCTACGGTCCTCAGAGGCCGTTCCCGAGGGTCGGTACCCATTCCCACCCTCCACTCCTGCAAATGTGGGGCTCCCTGAGACCTGGGGGGCGGGAGGGCGGGCCGGTCCCGGGGATTCCCTTCCCGCCCAGGCAAGTCCTACCCCCCAGAGGCCGGTTCCTGCCAGGATGGCCCAGCTCCCGGCTCCCTGGGGCTGGCGCCCTCGGGCTCTGCCGTCCAGGGTCGGGGCGGGGGATGGGGGATGGAGTCGGCTGCGGGCGCGGCGGGGTGGCCGGGTGGCCGGGGCTGCGCGCGGGGTCCGCGGGGAGGGTTGGGCAGACGAGGCCGGCCGGCCGCTCAGGGAGTGAGTGGGTCGGCGGCGATCCAGCCGGGGCGGGGCCGGAGCGGAGCGGAGCCGGAGCTCAGAAGCCAGGCGCGCACCGCACCGCGATGGGCCGGGGGTCTCCGAGGGCGCCAGGGGCGCCGCCGGCCTGGCTGCTGCTGCTGCTGCTCCTGCTACCGTGGTCCGTGTGGGGGGCCCAGGCGTTCCGCGGTGAGTGGGAGCGCCCCGAGCGGCAGGCTTGGTCCCTGTCAGGGGATGGAGGGGTTGAACCCACTCCCTCCCGGGAATGCGCCCGGGAACAGAGAGGGTTTGGGAAGGTGTCCCTGGGTCCTGCCCAGGGATTCTCACCTGAACTTGGGCTAAGGGCCCAGACTTGCGCATTTTGCCCACCTGCCACTGTGCCCGTCACAAGGCAGAGCGGCAGGAATCCTTATCCTCTGAGCAGTGTGCCTCCGCTCACACCCCTCTGCCTGGATCCCCAGGCCCCAGCCTCCTGCACCTCCTTCCCTCAGGGCTCCAGGGTCTTCCTCCTCTGGAAAGCCCCCCGCCCACTGGCCTCCTAAAAACCCTGCTGTGATCGCTGCCTGTGACCTCCACACTCACCCATCACCCAAGCTCACCCCCATCCTGGGCCTTGGGCCAGGGTGTAACTAGTTTATGCTGTTGCCATGTTTGGTTAGAGGAGGAGGGCTCCTCACAGAGGGTAACCTCTCCCACCCTCTGCCGCCCGGCTGGACCAGCAGCTCTGAGTGGGCGGGAGGCCTGGACATCAGGGAGAAGGCAGGACAGGCTGGGCTGGGGAGGGGGCAGTTTGCAGAGCACTGTGGAGGGGGAACCCAGCAGGGATAGAATCCCTGAGCCCTCAGGGGGAGGGACCACAGCCCTCACTCTCTTGGGGATGTTCCCCAGGCATTCCACTGATTCCTTCTCCTCAGCCTGGAGCCAGGGGAGGGAGATGCAACCCCCTGGGGGGAGTGGAGAGGGACTCTATGCTCCCCAACACTACACTGGCTCCCCTGGTTTCACTTAGTCACCACAGCTCCTTCTCTGCCCCCCTCTCCCTCATCAAGGTACCAGAGGCCAATACGTGGGAGGCCTGGGCCCAGCAAGACCTGGCTCTCCACTCCCAGTGAAGTCCTCTGGGCTAAGAGACCCTCCCCTCTCCCCAGGAGCACTCAGACCCCTGCCCACACGCGCCCTCGCTGATGGCAACTGCTTGGGAGCAGCTCACTCATCCAATCAGGGAGGGCTTCTTGGGGGAAGGGAACTCCTGGAGTTGCTGCTACTCCAGGTCTTTGATGATGGGGCCTGGGGGAGGGGAAAGAGAAGGAGAAAGGATTTGGGGTGGGGGCCTGGCCATTACTGAGCCACTTCCACAGACCAACATCTCAGCCTGGGCAGGGCTGGGTGGAGTTAGCAGAGCTGTCAGTCTGGGAGCTGGGCTTCCCCCAGGACTGAGTGCCAGTGGGTGGTCAGGCTGCCAGGGGGCCTGCCTCCTACAGGGGGGTGCAGTGCTGTAGTCCTTGGGAGGAAGATGCCTGGGGGCATTCCAGGAGAGCATTCCAGCCCTCTCTGAGTAATGCTTGGCTCTGGTATTCCTCCTGGAGCTCCTGAAGCACACCACTCCCGCTGGGAGCACTCAGGTTCTGCCCCCAGCCCCTGGGCCAGGGTCCCTGGAAGCCCCACTTCCTGCACGAAGCCCCAAAGGCAGCTCTGAGCAACGGGAGCCTCCCAAGAAAACATCTAGCTGTTGTTTTTCCCAGAGGGCGGTGGAGACACAGGCATCCTCTTCACAGATCTCTCACCCTAAAGGCATCTGCCGCCCAGCCTAAAAATACCCCAGGCTGCCTTCCTCCTTCCCCCTTGCACTGGCGGCCTTGGTCTCTCCCTCGTGACCTTTGACACCAAGCCCCCAAGATCAGTGGGGCTCCAAGCATCCCCAGCAGAACTATCCTTCCTAGGCTCCTCTGCCTCTCTTCTGCCAACTCCTCTCCCCGCCCCCCCGCCCCTCCCCCCTCCCGCCCCCAGGCTGCTCCTCATTTCCCAGGACCCCATGGGTCCTTGAAGATGGATGGTCCTCCCTGCTGCGTCAAACCCCATCCCTCTGTTGTCCCTGCTTCCCTCTGCTCCTCAGGTCCCCCCTCACCCTGTGCTCTGTCCTCACACCAGGAAACTCCCCCGGAGAGCCAGTCACCCCTCACTGGGTCCTGGACGGAGGAGCCTGGCGCGTGGTCACCCTGGAGGAGCCGGTCAGTGCCTCATCACCCCTTCCTCTGCAGGGCCCCGGCTCTCCGCCCCTCGGCCCCTCCCCAGACCGCAGTGCGGCCGGCCGTTTTACTGTGTTCCCTCAGTCCCCGCGCCCAGCCCTTCAGGCTCCTCCCTGAAGGGCTAGCAGGCAGGGGTGGGGAGACATGTAGATTATGTGAGCCTGCACACATGGAAGTCATTTTCAGGCTTCTCCCACACTCCCACTGCCTGCTCATTCTCTCCCTTCCCACAACTCTCCAGGCACGAAACTTCAGGGATCTCTCTAAGAAAACACAAACTCTGCCTTTGGCAAAGTTTTCCAGAACATGTGACCCCGTGGACACATTGCTGCCCCCTCCAGGACCCTGCCATTGAGAGGCCTGAAACTTCAGCCTCACGGGCTCATGCAGAATCCTTCTTTCCAAGGGGTATTAGTCACTGATAGATTAAATAGAGAAGGTAGACGGAGACAGGGATGGCAGGACACACACAGGCTTTATTGGAGAGAAGAGTACCCCTGCCAGCTGCTTCCAGGGAGAGGGGCGGAAGAGAGCGAAGGCCAGGCCGGGGTACCAGCACCTTTAAGGATAGGGGACGGGGCTTAGGGCACTCAGCACACGCTGATTGGTGATTAGGGAACCTAGGGACTTAGGAATGGGGGCGGGGCTTAGGATATTTGGCAGGTGCTGATTGGTGGTTTAGGAATGTCTGGCTGCAGGTGGGGTTTACGTCTGTCCATCAACTGGAGTAAGGGAGGATCTATCAGTCACTCTTCTGGTGGCCCTCAGATGCAGGCTCACCCCATTTTGCTTCTCCGGGATGCTCTGCCCCAGTCTCCTCCCAACACCCACCCATCACACACTTTCAGAATAACCATAGCCGCCGCCCCATGTGCCACACAGCTAGCTGTGCTGCAAACCAGGAGGCCATATGCCCGTCTGAGAGGGGGGCGAACTGAAGCCCGGAGAGGCTGGAGAAACTGCCCGCGTTCACACAGCTCTTTAGCCCAGAAGTCTGAGACCCACTCGGGTCTAAAAGACTTCAAACCATCGGCCAATGTGCCCCCAAACTAGAGAGCCCTCTTCATCCTGACTTTTCAGGTAAGAAGGGACAACCCACTGTCCAGGCCACTTAGGAGGAAGACGAGAGCGCTGCCATGGGGCCGGGAGCTGACACAGGCCCACAGCTCCCTCACGGGGTCCCCAAGACCCTCAGGGTCCCCACTCAAGAGGTCAAGCTTGGCGCTGGTCCGAGCTTTGAGATCATTTTCCTGGACATCACCAGCAGAGGGCTGGGCTCCTGCTGGAGTCACCCTGACTGCGGACCCTCCTGGCCTGGCTTGGGCTGTGACAGGAGCGGAATCCCAGAGGGGCCTTGCTCTCCCCACTTACTGGCCCTTGCCCCCAGGAAGCCTGCCAAGATGAGGTCAGTGTCCGGTCCCAGAGGAAGGAAACACTCACATTTCAGGGTACACAGCGAGAAGTAAAGTCACTAGGAGGGCAAGAAGTGAGGACAGAGGTGCAGAGGGACAAAGGGGGGGTTCTGCGGTTTGGGGGTGGCAGGAGGAGGCTTTTCATTGCGGCTGCTGCCTTTCCCTGGTGCAAACCTTTCTCCAATAAAGCCAGTAGCATTCCGGCCCCATGAGCTCATGCCTGGGGCCCTGCTGGGCTCTTGTGGGGGCAGGGAGCTGTCTGCTCCCCACCTGCGGAGGAAGTCTCCACAACAAGCCTGGGAGCCCCTTGGCCTCCGGCCCAGCCCCATGCACTGTGGACTAAAAAGGAAGGGCCAGGGAGGGCTGGGCTAGCATTCCGAAGACACAGCAGCTCTCCTGGAGGCCCCTGGACTGCCTCCCCCTCTGGGCCTCCAGCCAGGCTGAATGGACAAGGGAGGCAGATGAGTCTTCCCACGTGGGAAGCAGCGAAGAGAGCAGAGAAGGAGAGGCTGGCCAGGCCTCCCTCTCCCCTCCCCGCCCAATCCGGCCAAGAACGCCAGCGTTTTTCTCTTGGCCTAGGCCAGGGGTCTGTGTTTACTTCCTAGGATCCGTGAAACAGGTGTGGGCGAGCCTGCTGGAGACGGAGGAATTTCAGGGCCTGACATTTTGTCAGAATTGGAGGTGGAGGAGTAAAGTCTGAATTCTCCAGGGAGTGGGGAGAAAAGATGCCAGAACAAGAGGTTGTGAGGAGGCCCGAGCCATGGCTACCTGACATCCACCCTCCACACACACACATCCCCTGCACTGTCCTCAGGACCCCGCTTCCTTCCTGCCCAGAGGAAGCCTAGGCATGAAAGAGGAGGAAGAGCCAGAGGGAAGGCCCAGTAACCCTGAGCAAGACAGGGTCCCTCCTTTCTGGGACCCCTTGTCTCTCTAGGGGGGACGTGTGGTGTACCTAACAGGCTACATCCAATGGCTGTTGTCAGAACAAACATCCTGAGTTTGGGAACATCTCACCCCACACCACCCATGCCCATCAGCATGCTCTCACCCCCACACCTATCCATGCCCATGAGGGCAAGCAGGAACCCTTCTGCCCCTCAGCCCCATGTTCTCCCCATGAACTCCCTGGCCGGCTGGCTCCCCACCCACCAGCTCCCCGGCAAACCGGCTGCCTGCCACCTCATCCTGCACCCCTTCTTGCCCAGGCCCTGAAGCTCGACACGGGGCTGGTAGCCTTGGAGGCTGGAGGCCAGGAGCTCCTCCTGGAGTTGGAGAAGAACCAGTGAGTACCAGGCCAGGGAGGGGGCTGGGAGCCAAGACAGACTCTCTCTCTGGGGGTGGGGACCAGTGCTGGGGGCAGGGACTGGTGGGAGCCCAGGAAGGAGGGAGGCTGGAAGGGGGAGGGCTCCCTTGAGGCTGAAATGGCCTGTTGGGCTGGGTGAGCCCAGCGTTGGGGCACATCTTTCACCCAGGCCCCAGGCCCCAGGCCCATCTTGTCAGCTCCCTGCCAGAGTGAGCATCAATCACCTAACGGGCTCGAGAAAGAACCCTGAGTCCAAAGAGAATCCGAGATAGGTTCCCTGGAAGGGCAGGCTTGCCAGGCTAATGGAATGGCAAGGGCAAAGGTGAAGTGATACAAAGATCAAGGCACATTCAGGGAGCACACTTTGTCCGGCAGGGAAGGCAGCAAAGGGCAACAGGTTTGGGGAGTCCCCGTGGGGCCGGATCGTAGAGGCCATTTTTGTGCTGAGTATCCTGGACGGTGCAGAGCCAGAGACTTTAAGTTGGCGAGTGAGCAGGCAGAGCTGGGCTGGATGAGGTGGGTGTCCAAGATGGCGCATGGGATCTTAACACCATTCTGACCATATCACCAACAGCTATTTATGTATCACGTGCTTGTTTCATTGCAGGCACTGCTCTAAGCACTCCACACATGTTATTCTCCCCCAGGGAATCAGATGGACTAGGAATAAGCTAGTTCCACCATGTCTACCCTCGGTTTCTCTGGGGTTTGGTGTCCCCCACATTCAATGGCTTGATCATATCTCCTACCTCACCTACCTCCTGTACGGGCATGGAGTGAGGAGCAGAGCTGAAGGAAAGACTGGGGGTGGGGGTGGAGGGAGAAGCAGGCATCACAGATCTTTGGGTGGTCTGGCAGGACAGAGGTCAAGGTGAGGTGAGAGTCAAGGATTTTCCTTAAGAGTGGTTGACTTACGGTTAATCCATCTTGGTGGGAAGGATCCTGGTGGGATGGGGCTCAAAGATGGGATCCTTAAGGGAATGAGCATCACTGACGGACAATTGGGAAGATATGTGGGGTCTGCAGGCCATAGGAGAAGATGTAAGGATCCTTGAGGCAGGGAGGTGGAAAGAAAGAGGTTTGATCAGATGCCCAACAAGGCTAGGCAGCAGGAAGTGCCACCTATGGAATTCAACCACACTTCCTTGGCTCTAAGTCCCACCTCCTCAGCAGTGTCTCCTGAGTCCGCTCCTCCTGCCCAGCCCGAGGCCTGGGGGACCAGCTGCTGCCGCCGGCTCCACCGGATCACAAACTGCCGCTATTGCTGCTCCTCCCTGCTGCTCCCCACACTCCCAGCTCCCGTAGCTAAGCCATCACCACAGCTCCTGCCTGCTCTTCGCTTTTCTGCCTGTAGCCCAGGGTTTTTCTGAGCTAAGCAACACGCAGTCATTCCTGTCCCTTTCCTAAGACACACTGTGGGTGCTTCTTTAAAAATAAATAAATATATATATATATATTTTTTTTTAATAAAAAATATATAAAAATATATAAATATATAAAAATATATATATTTAAATATATTTTATTGATATTTTACAGAGAGGAAGGGAGAGAGATAGAGAGATAGAAACGTCGATGAGAGAGAAACATACATGCCCTTGACCAGAATCGAACTTGGGACCTTTTAGTCCGCAGATCGACGCTCTACCACTGAGCCAAACCGGTTTTGGCTAATATATATATATATATATATATATTTAATTGATTTCAGAGAGGGAGAGAGAGGTGGAAACATCAATGATGAGGGACAATTAATGATCGGCTACCCCCTGCATGCCCCTTACTGAGGATCAAGCCTGCAACCCAGGCACCTGCCCTGACCAGGAATCAAACTGTTACCCCTGGTTCATAGGTCAGTGCTAAACCACTGAGCAACACCTTCTGGGCTGAGTGCTTCTTAACTGCTAGCCCTGTGCCTCACTCACAGAGCTGCTCAACTAGCATTCAGGGAGGAAGGCGGGAGGGCATCCTGGGGGAGGCAGAGCTGAATTAGGTGATCCCTACAACACCCCTTCCCAGCAGGCTGCTGGCCGCAGGATACACAGAAACCCACTACAGCCCTGACGGGCAGCCAGTGGTGCTGGTCCCCAACCAGAGGGTGAGACACTTCCATGGGCACTGAGGACAGGGTGAGGGGTGCCCCCAGGGCCTCCCCACCATTCCGGCCCCATTCTCCTGTTCCTCAGGAGAGGCCGGAGCCAGCCCTTCCCCTCCCCCAAGCCTGCTTCCTTGCCCTTCCCACTTCAGTCCTGGCTGGGATTTGAAGCTGGAACCCTTGCTCTCCAGGATCATTGCTATTACCATGGGCGTGTGAGGGGCTTCCCCGACTCCTGGGTAGTCCTCAGCACCTGCTCTGGGATAAGGTGAGGAGTTCTGGGGGAGAGGGCTGAGCCTGGGGCTGGGGTAAGAATTCCCTCACACCGCCTTCTGCACCCCTCTGCATCCCAGGGGTCTGATCACGCTCCGGAGCAATGTCAGCTATTATGTGCATCCCTGGCCAGCGGGGGCCGCCGAGGGTGTCTCCACCCACAGGATCCTCTGGACAGAGCAGCTGCTTAGCTGGAAAGGGGTCTGTGGCCAGAAGGATCCTGAAGACAAAAGGAACGTGACCAGCCGTTCTCCTGCCGCCCAGATCAGGGTCAGGGCCGCAGACCGGGGTGGGAGTGGGCTGCAGTCCCCACAGCCCTCCAAATCCCAAAGACAGGAAAGTGTGGCCCCGGTTCAGGGTCTCCTGTCCCGGTATTTATTTGGAGGCTGAAGAAATGAAGTTCTTGGAAAATTTTTAAAGTTACCTTTGTGCTCCCCGGGGATTGGGGTTGGTGGTCAGGGCTCAAGCCAGCAGCCTGCCACTCGGGGTCACTGTTGCTTCTCAGCAGGACTGGCGGGAGGCCCAGCGAAGCCCGAAGTTCCTGGAGCTGTACATCGTGGCGGATCACACGCTGGTGAGAGGAGACTCCAGGGGGCTGGCGGCTCCGAGGGGCCAGTCAGCCTGTCACATCACCACTTTGCTGCCTTCCCAGTTTGTGACCCAGCACCGGGACTTAAACCACACCAAACAGCGGCTTCTGGAGATCGCCAACTACGTGGACCAGGTTGGGGCGATGGGTGGGAAGACACCCCACGGTAGTGGCGGCCACAGGGGTGGGCAGGTCCCCGCTGGAGGAGGCAGGCTTGGAGATGAGGAGAGAGAATGTAGGGGGGACAGAGGGGAACCCCCCAGCAGGATGGTATGCCTGGCCCCTGCTTCAGGCCTGTCCTGGCCTGCCCTGCCCACAGATTCTCAGGACCCTGGACATCCGGGTGGCGCTGACTGGCCTGGAAGTATGGACCGAGCAGGACCAGATCCGCATCACGCCGGACGCCAACAGCACGCTCTGGGCCTTCCTGCAGTGGCGCCGGGGGCTGTGGGGGCGGCGGCCACACGACTCCACGCAGCTGCTCACGTGGGTGCCCCCCATCCCCATCCACCCGGGTCCCTGCTGGGCGGCTCCTCCTCCCCGCGCCCCCAAGTCACGCTGCCCTCCACCCTCAGGGGCCGCGCCTTCCAGGGCGACACCGTGGGCCTGGCCCCCGTGGGAGGCGTGTGCCTCGTGGAGAGCTCTGGAGGCGTAACCGCGGTGAGCCCCGTGGGGCCGGACCCCGGACCAGCGCGGGAGTGCGGGGCCGTGTCCGCAGCCCGCAGTGACCGTCCCCGCGCCCCCGCAGGATCACTCGGAGCTCCCCGAGGGCACTGCAGCCACCATGGCCCACGAGATAGGCCACAGCCTGGGCCTCAGCCACGACCCCGACGGCTGCTGCGCAGAGGCGGCAGCGGAGCCGGGCGGCTGCGTCATGGCAGCAGCCACTGGGTACCGGCGACCGGGGGACCAGGCGACCAGGCTACCTGGCGACCGGGTGGGGAGGGAGAGGAGGAGCTGCTAGGGAGGCTCCTGTGGACCCCGGGGCCCTTCCTCAGCTTCATTCCTTTGGGCGCATGCTTCTCTCCCAGTTTCCTCTTCTGTAAAATGGGGGCTTGATCCACGTACCGGCCTTACCTGGAGTAAACACGGGAAAGGGCGTTCTCACGGGTGTAAAGATTCTTTTCAGAAACACCTAGCCAGGCTGTTCCTCCAGGAGGGGCCGCGCTGGGTTGGGGTTCGAGGTTCGAGGCTCAGTCTCGCGCAGCTGGCTCCGGGAGCCCCACCCTCCCGCTCCGGTCTGGCTGCGGGACTCCGCTTGGTGACCTGCCGCTCCGGGCTCTGCCCTTGGCGCATCGGAGACGCCGGCGCGCGGCTGTGCGGCCCAGCGCGGGGGGTCCTGAGGGCGATCGGAAAGGGGCAGGGGGTTCGGGGGGGTGATCCCCGCGCGCCCCGACGCCTTTCCCGCCCGCAGGCACCCGTTCCCCCGCGTGTTCAGCGCCTGCAGCCGCCGCCAGCTGCGCGCCTTCCTCCGCGCGGGCCGCGGCCCGTGCCTCTCGGACGCGCCGCGCTCGGGGCTGGTGGCGCGGCGGCCGCGCTGCGGGAACGGCTTCGTGGAGGAGGGCGAGGCTTGCGACTGCGGCGCCGGCCAGGTGAGGCCCCCGGAGGCCCCGGCGGGCTCCGTGCCCCCTCCATCCCCCTCCGCCCAGCGCAGGCGCGGCTCCCTCACCGGCCCCTTCTCGCCTTCTCGGCTCCAGGAGTGCCCCGACCCCTGCTGCGTCGCCCACAACTGCTCGCTGCGCGCGGGGGCCCGATGCTCCCGCGGGGCCTGCTGCGCCAGCTGCCAGGTGAGGGCAGGGCAGGCCCGGAGGGAAGGAGGGGGGGGGGCGCCCTGTTGGCCCCGGCAGATTGGCGCCCCTGCGCCCGGGCCCACCCCTCTCTCCCGCCGCCCTGTTCCGCCCCCAGCCCCGCCGTCGGCGCGGACCTCTCACTGTCCTCTGTGTCTCGGTCGCCCTCCCGCCTCGCGGTCGCCTTTGCAGCTGAAGCCTGCGGGCACGCCGTGCCGTCGGGCTGCGGGAGATTGCGACCTCCCCGAGTTCTGCACGGGCGCCTTTCCCCGCTGCCCCCCGGACCTGCACCTGCTGGACGGCTCGCCCTGCGCCGGCGGCCGGGGCTTCTGCCGGGACGGCGCGTGCCCCACGCTGGAGCAGCAGTGCCAGCAGCTCTGGGGGCCTGGTGAGAAGACACGCGCGCCCCTGCACTCCGTCCCTACCCTTGGGTCGGAGGAATTTTCTCCTCTAGGAAAGACGTGGGGGTGGGGGTGGGGACGAAGGGGGAGAACTGAGGGCGGGGGCAGCCCAGTCCCAGCCCCGCCCATGCCTCTCCAGGCTCCCGCCCAGCACCGGAGGCCTGTTTCCAGGTGGTGAACTCGGCCAGAAACGCCCATGGCAACTGCGGAAGGGATGCCGAGGGCAACTACGTGCCTTGTACGCAGAGGTGAGGAGAGGAGCAGAGGGACCGGAAGCTGGGGAGTGGGTAGGAGACAAGGGACACCCTCCCCCCCCCCCCATGCTGCTTGACACGCCAATTGTTCTCCAGGGATGCGCAGTGTGGGCAGCTGCAGTGCCAGGGCGGGGAGCAGAGCCCGCTGGCGCCGCACACGATGCCGGTGGACTCTACCCTCCGCCTGGACGGCCGCGAGGTGACTTGCAGGGGAGCCTTCCCGCTACCGGGGGCCCAGCTGGTCCCGCCTGACCTGGGCCTGGTGGAGCCAGGCACCCAGTGTGGACCCGCCATGGTGAGCCCGCCCACCCATCCCCTCCCTGCCTCTGAGTCCCTAGGCCAGAGCTTCACTCGCCCACGGTGCTGAGTGCACACCATGCCCACAGGTGTGCCAGGACGGGCGCTGCCAGAACACTACCTTTCAGGAGCTGGAGCGCTGTCTGGCCGCCTGCCACGGCCATGGGGTGAGTGGTCTTGAGTGTGTGTGTATGTGTGTGTGTGTGTGTGTGTGTATGGGGGGTGTGACCTTGAGGTCCCTGATCCCATGGGACCCTCCTTCTCTCTTCCTCTGCAGGTTTGCAACAGCAACCATAACTGCCACTGTGATCCTGGCTGGGCTCCACCCTCCTGCGACCAGCCCGGGCCGGGGGGCAGCCTGGACAGCGGCCCTGTGCAGCCGGAAAGTGCGCACATGGGGGGGGGGGGGGGGCACGTGGGCCCGGGCCCCGCGGTGCTCCTCCGGAGGACTCAGACCCACCCTGTCCTTTGCAGACCACGACGCCTTCCTGCTGGCGGTGATCTCCAGCTTCCTTCTGCCTCTGCTACCCGGGGCCGGCTTGGCTTGGTGCTGCTGCCGGCAGCGGGGATCCCAGCTTCAGCGATGCCTGCGGGGCTCAGGGAGGGACAGTAGGTAGGCTCTGAGGTCCCTGCTCTCTGAGCCCACTCCTGTGGTTCCTGCTCCTCAGAGTTCCGCGGGGCCTGGGACAGCTTGGGTGGTGTCCTTAAGCCTCGTCCCCAGAGGCAGAGAGGCAGCTGAGGTAGTGGAAAGAAGCCTTGAGCAGGAGGCACCAGGGGCCAAGGGTGCGGGTCCCTTCCCTGTTGCTGTGGTTCAGTCCCTTTTTGTCCATCCTCCTGTCTCTCCTACCAAGGAGGCTGCCTCATCTTTGACTTTGCCCTGTTTTCCACCAGCTCCTAATGCAGTTCCTGCTCCACTGTGCCCCTCAGGGCCTCCCAGCCACGTTCTCATGAGCTTTCGGCCTCTGTCACTTCCTCTGCCTAAATCTCTGCCGTTACCTCCTTCAGGTCCCTCGATTCTGGGTCGGCCCATCTTTCCACTCGGTACCACTGGTCAGCTATAGTGTCAGTGGCCCTTGTGCCAAGGCCCCGCGCAGAACCAGCTCTCATGACCTGGGGGGAGGGTTCTACAATTCCACGCCCCTTCACTGGGTCCTGGGCAAGGCAGGCCCCTCATAGCCACATCTGACACAGCCTGGCCTTGGGTGTACCTAGCACAGCTGAGGGGAAAGGGCAGGGTTTGGGCTGGAGATAGGGACAGAGGCCATCCTTGGCAGGGGTGGGCACCAGGCAGGTCCCCGGTGCCAGGTGAGGGACGTTGGCACAATGAGCAGTGATTGCAGTTCTGTGGGCAGTGGTGCAAGGTGCTCAGAGTGTGGTGTACCAGCATGGGGGGGCCTCCAGGATGGGAGTAACAGCATGTCATCGCCAGGGCAGAGTCTGGAGGGCAGTGGAGACTGTTGTGAAGAGACATGGAAGTGGCAGGCCCTGGGAGATGGGGCATGGGCAGCTAAGAACGGCTTGGAGTCATCGAGGGCAGTATGGCCACCCAACGGCAAAGAGAGCAGAACAGCTGCCACTAGAGAGAGTGACCGAGGGCAGAAGGGTGGAGACTCAGTCAACACAGAAGGCGGGGGAAGGGGTGTCCGGCTCAGTAGCACTGTTCCAACCTCTGATCTCGCTGGCCAGGCCCAACGATGGCCCATGCAGGGATCACCCGCCGGCCAGGGCTCAGCGCCTGGAGCTGGGCCCGATGACCACTGGAGAGCCCCGCCCCTCAGTGAGTGAGGGGCAGGGGAGATGGGGAAGGAAGTGAAGGGGTGGACCCTTGGGCCCCCTCTGTACACTTAACACCCAGCCACCTTGAGTCCCCTGTGCCCTGCCCACCCAGAGACCACTGCCAGCTGTGCTCACAGCACTCATTCTCCGCCCATTGCTCCCAGGCACTGAGATCCCTGCCAGAGCCCAACAGCCGCCTTGAGAACCCTGTGCCCTGTGGCCCTACCTGCAAGGTAGGTGGGTACCCTGATGTGGGGGCCTCCACCTCCACTGCCCCTCAGCTCACTGCTCCCTACTCTGGGGTTTCTGAGCTTGGGTTCTGGAGCTGCTGTCATGGAGGGCAGATGCTGGAAGCGTCCGGAGTGGGGGAGGGAGAAATGATGGCTCTTCCTGGGTCATCTGTCCTCACGGAGGGAGGACAGGGGGTCCCTGCCGCATGACCCACAGCCTGAGGTCCCAGTTCTTAGGGGATGACCCCTCCCCCACTTCCTTTTCAGCAGGTCAAGTCCAGAAGCCAAGATCCTGCCTCTGTTGAGAAGGGGATCCGGGGATGAGGACACTTAAAAACAGGTGGCTACTGGCACTTGGACCGTAAGTCAGCTGGCCTGTACCTTCAGGCAGCTGGCAAGTTTCTTCCCCAAGTTACATCTGCCCTACCCACTCCCGGACCCCAGAAGCTCATCAGAGTTTGCCCAGTGCTCTCTCTGCTCTTTAGGGCTGGATCATGCCAGCCCAAGAATGCATCTGTTCTGTAAAATTTCCCAGGTCTGAGAGACCAAAGGAAGAGGCTGACAACACTGTCATTACCAGAGCTTATTAAGGGAACATGTACAAGGTACATCTTGAGCAGCGGCAAGACCAAGTGGACATCCACCACGCCATGCGGCAGCCGCTAAGGGGCTGTGTAAGACGGGCAGGATGGGCAGGGGTACTGGGCGTAACCCACCCAGGTAAGGGGGAAAGGCCTTACACACTAAAAATCCATGATGAACAAACTATTGACCTTTTTAAGTAAAGATGGGATCAATAACAGTGCCACCCCAAGCCAGGTGGGAGCCAGAGGCAAAAGGGAAAGTCAGCCATGGTGATCCTGTGGCAAGTTCTCTCTCACCTCATCCTGCAATAGAATGGCAACTTGTAAGATCTCCTAAGATTCCATGACTGGCACATGCTACTTACCATAATGCTCTGTGGTTCCAGGGATTAAGAAAAAAAAAAAAATCCACTTAATGGGAGGAGTGCAAAATGACATTTCAGAGCGTGTAAAGAGCTGGGGGAATGTTGCAAGTGTCTGATCTTCCCATCGGCAGCACGGAAGAGGCAGCCCCCAGCTCAAGAGGCTGGATGAGACTTTTCTAAAGTCCTGCATTCTTTGTATCTGCGAGATTTTGATTTATAGAGATGACTGAGAGGACCTAGAGAGACTGATGCCATTGAAAGTTTTTATCACTTACAGTCCCCAAGAAAAGGGGGCAGGCAGGGCTGCATGGGGAAGCATCGGGCTTGTGAGGAAAGACTGGAGCGCTACCACAGATTGGAGGAGGGTGAGGCAACATGACCACTGGGTGTCGTGGGATCCTGGGTTGGATCTTGAAACAGAAAAAGGACATTAGTAGAAACACTGGAGAAATTAAAAATGATCTGTAGTTTATTGTATTATACTAATGTCAATTCCTTAGTTTTAGCAATCTCTATATATAAAAGCCTAAGCAACCAAACAACAGGTCAACCGGTCGCTATGATGCGCACTGACCACCAGGGGGCAGATGCTCAACACAGGAGCTGCCCCCTGGTGGTCAGTGCACTTCCACAGTGAGAGTGCCACTCATGGCTGGCGAGCACAGCTGTGGTGGCATCAGCCTCTCCTGCCTTTGTGGCAACGCTACCTCTGCAGCGCCGGGCTGGGATGAGCAGGAGCACCTGGCTCAAGCTCCTCCCTGACCACCTGCCGCTTCCCGCACTGCTATATCCCTTGGGGGATGTCAGACTGACAGCTTTGACCCTCTAGTTATACGATAATTACGAGAGATGCTAACACAAGGGGCAGTTGGGTAAAAAGTGTAAACACAACATTATTGCAACGTTTGTTCAAGTATGAAATCAGTTAATAATAAAAAGTTAAAAATAGCCCTGGCTGGTGTGGCTCAGATGGTCAAGCATTGTCCTGTGCACCAAAGGTCACTTGTTTGGTTCCAGCCAGGGCACATATCCAGGGTTCAGGTTCAATCCCTGGTACACGTACTGGGGGCAACTGATCAACGTTTCTCTCCCTCTCCCTTTCTTTAAAAAATAAAAATGAAATAAAAACATATATTTAAAAAAGTTAATAAAATTATAAAAGAAGGCAAAGAACAATGTTTCAAAAAGTTAACTGTGTAGAATGGGAGAGACAAGGCCTCCTGGGGTAGCTGTAGGTGTTGTGTGGGGAGGAGGGAGCTGTGGGGTCCATCTAGCCATTCAGCCTCTAGATTCCCTGGCTCCTTGGTCTACCTGAGGCGGAGCTCAGGGTGGGGACTCAGTGGGGGCGGGAGCCATGCAAAGGCTCCTCCCAGTGGCAGGAGTGCTCCTGTCAGCACAGTCTCTGGGTTTCTACCCACTTCAGCTCAGGCAGGGCAGGAAGAAGGCACCTGTCCACCGGGGTTCTGCTGGCGCTGTCCTGTACTCTGCAGGCCGGCATGGCCCGCTGCTTGGGGCCCGGGAAGCTGCTGCTGCTGCTGCTGCTGCTGCTGCTGCTGCTTCTGAGTGAGTGGCCGCCTCTTCCTCGGACCCTGGAACTCTGGCCTCTATCTCGGATTCTCGGGGACAAGAGGGTGATTCCAGGAAAAGCTGGACGGCAGGAAGTGTGGCCAGTGAGAGACCTGTGCTTGGGGTGCAGGGACACCTGGTAGTTTGCTCACAGGGCTCTGCTCATCCTGCCTCCTGCCTCCTGCCCAGCTCCCTGCCCCCTTCCCAAGCCCCACTGTGGTACTGGTGCCTCAGGAACTTCCTTTTTCCTATTGCTCCCCTCTCCCAGCTTTCTTCCCCTTCCTCCAGCCTCAGCCCTCCTCCTTCAGTCTTAGAGTTCCATACTGACTTCTTGCCCGGCATCTTCAGTGTCTCCGTGCCACTCATCTGCTGTCCCACCCGCTAAGACGGTCTCTTCCCCACATGAAGCATCGTGGAGGGGGTCACACTGGGTGGGATGGGGAGCATGAAAGCAGGCAGAGGTTCAAGGCAGAGGAGATGTTGGAGCCGAGATGTGCTGTTTTGAGGGTGATGATGAGGTAAGGGTGTTCCTCACGAGGGAGACAGGTAAGCAGAGGAGCAGAGGTGGAGCCAGGACCTTAGGGGACAGACACGGGGACTGTGTATCTGGCTGAGGCCTGGGAGCAGGAGGGGCTTTGCTGGGAGAGAAGGGCAGAGTTCGCCTGCTGCGCTGTGTCCTGGAGGAGAAGGGGAGGAGAGGGGGGAAGGGGGCTCACCCCTCTCCTGCCAAACCGTTCACTTACATACCCGCTCCAAGTCCTTAGTGTCTGTCTGTCCTTCCAGCAGAGAGGAGGGCACTGAAGCCACTGCAAGAATCACCAGGGCACCCAAAAGAGGTGGCCAATGCCAGAGAGGGGCCCTGCTTCAAGCCCTGAAGCAGGGGACCCCCTCAACATACACAGTGAGATGGGGTGGGGCCAGGCTGGGGGTGTCCTGCCAGCTCCTAGGGGCTCTGAGAGCGTGAGGGGCAAAGGGAGCCTGGTTTGGTGACCGAGCTTCTAAGAGGCTGCCGAGTCTCAACCTCTGGAGATGCCGGCTGGGCTGGATTTCGATGTGGCCTGCAGCACCTGTGCCTGGAGCACACCCTCTGCCCAGCCAACGCCTGGTGTGTGCCGGTTGTGCCAGGGGCACTTTTTGGCCCTGTGGCTCAGGACAGGAGCCCCGGAGGACTTCTCTCAGATCCATACCTTTACAGCCAGACTGTCCAGTGCCCAGAGCCCTTCCGAGAATCCCCTTTTCGCCTAGCTCAGTGGTCGGCAAACTGAGGCTCTTGAGCCACATGGGGCTCTTTGGCCCCTTGAGTGGCTCTTCCACAAAATACCATGGCCTCGGCGAGCCTATTTTGAAGACGTGGCATTAGAAGAAATTTTAAGTTTAAAAAATGTGGCTCTCAAAAGGAATTCCAATCGTTGTACTGTTGATATTTGGCTCTGCTGACTAATGAGTTTGCCGACCACTGGCCTTGCTGGTAGAGGGTGGAGGAACCAGGAGGAAGCCAGAGTCCAGATGGGGCAGCATGGGTTAGACGGCCGGAAAGGAGCACCAGAAGGGAGTGGAGGGGGAAGACTCCAGGGCCAGTGTAGGTCAGAAGGAGAAAGAACCAGAAATCTATGGACCCGTTTGAAGGGTCTCCAAATGAGAGGGGGGAGAGAGGGAAAGAAGAGAAAGAAGAAAAGCTCAGCATGCATGAGTGAGGATGAGGGGTATCCACTGTCCTCAAGGCAATCTCTGATAAGTCTTCATTAACCAGGTCCCCAGAAGCTTTGTTTCCCCGCGTCAGGGGCCTCTCATGGGAGTGGGAGGAGACTCGGGGATCCCTCTTTGGATGGGTGGGATCGTTTGGGGAGAGGGGTCATGCCTGGAGAGGATGGGCCTCGGCCTCTAGGGGCAAGGCCCATCCTCTGATGTGTTGCAGGAATCCCCGGGGCCCACCGCTCATCCCCGCGACGGCCGGCCCGGTTAGCGCCGGTGGTTCACACCTCCAGGCCACCCTGCGTTCCCCTGTTCTCCGCGGGGAACGCATCTCAGAGGGGCCCGGGGGCCGCACCGAGGACTGACCGCAGTCTGCCCGCCCCGACTCTAGGCTCCACGAGCTCGGCCGCACGGAACCGCTGCGTGGACGCGGCCGAGGCGTGCACGGCGGACGCGCGGTGCCAGCAGCTGCGCACGGAGTACGTGGCGCGGTGCCTGGGGGGCGGCGGCGGCGGGGCCTGTCCTCGCGCCCGCTGCCGCCGCGCCCTGCGCCGCTTCTTCGCCCGCGGGCCGCCCGCGCTCACGCACGCGCTGCTCTTCTGCCCGTGCGCGGACCCCGCGTGCGCCGAGCGCCGGCGCCAGACCTTCGTGCCCGCCTGCGCCTTCTCCCGGCCCGGCCGGCCGCCGCCCTCCTGCCTCGCGCCCTTAGACGCCTGCGAGCGCAGCGGGGTCTGCAGGTGCGGGCGGGGGCGGGGCTGGAGGGGCGGGGCTGGAGGGGCGGGGCTTTCGGGGATGGACGCCCATTGGCTCACGGCTTTCCCTCCGCAACGCGCAGACCCCGCCTCCTGGCCTTCCAGGCCTCCTGCGCGTCCGCCCCTAGCGCCCCCGACGGCTGCCCGCACCCCCAGGCCTCCCGCTGTCTGCGCGCCTACGCGGGCCTCGTAGGTACAAAATGCAGGGGCTCGGGCACGGGCGGGGCTCCCCCGGGCTTCCGCCGCCTGGTGAACCGATTCCTGCGCTCTCGGGGTCCCCGCAGGCACCGCGGTCACCCCCAACTATGTGGACAACGGGAGCGCGCGCGTGGCGCCCTGGTGCGACTGCGGAGCCAGCGGGAATCGGCGGGAGGAGTGCGAAGCCTTCCGGGGGCTCTTCACCGGGAACCGCTGCCTGGGTGAGGGGCCGGGGCCGGGGCAGGGCGGCGGGGGAGTACGCTTGGTCCTTACTGCCCCCGACCAGGCCGCCCTGCGGCGGGAGCCTGTGTAAGAGGCGAGGAAAGGGAGGCTTTCTGCGGCAGTCAGGCAGGCCCACTCTTCCTCTGCTGTCCTGCTGCCCCTCAGAGAATCAAAGACCAAAGTAAGCTCCTAGGGGTGTGTGGGCTGGTGCCCCTGCGGGCGGGCGGGAGAGGACCTGGAACGGAACTAGTTGAGATTCCTGCTTCTGCCACTTCTGAGGCAGCTCCATCCCAGAGGCACCGACAACTCCTTTCATTGATGGTCTTGCCTTCCTCTGGGTAGCTTGGTGGTTCCCTGCCCAGGCTGAGAGTTAGGGGGCCTGGGTGTGAAGCCCTCCTCTAAGCCATTTTGCCTCCATCTGTAAAATGGGGGTGATAACTGTCACCCTCCCAGTGAGGATGGAAGACGACAAGGTTTGTGAGGCACTCAGAGCACAGCTGTCCTTTCTTTGTTATTCCTTACCCTGCACCTTCCATTCCAGAAGCTAGTCCTTGCAGACATTCTGTCTTCCAGCTGTTCGTAGGGAGAGGCCACGGAGGTCCCCAGGGGTTTCTCAGTTTGTCCCCAAGGAGCTTTCCCCTGTGCTAGGGTTTCCCAGCCAAGCCCACCCTGACCCCTCCCTCTGTAGATGGCGCTATACGGGCCTTTGATAGCTGGCAGCCCCCAGCCCTGCAGGACCATCCAGACTCCAGCCAGCACCTTGAGCACAGCCTCCTGCAGGTAGGTGCAGGTAGGGGGTGGGTGAGCTGGCACCCCCTGCACCTGTTTCTCCAACCCTTCCATGCCAGTTGGGCCTAGATGGACATGAATGACCTGGGATGGGGGTGGACACAAAGAGCAAGGGCTAGGCTTCGGCCTCAAGCCCACACTCTGCTCCCACCCTCCAAGGTCTCCTCCACAGATGGGCTCCTGAAGGGGTGCTCCCTGCTCTCCATCTCTCTTCCCTGGCTTTCCAGACTCTGCTCTGACTAGGACAGCAGACCTTGAACAGCACAGCCAACTATTCCTGCCCCCTTCTCCCTGCCCAAGGTACCTGGCCACCTCTGTGGCCTACTGCCCCACTGAAAAGGGACTGGCTTACCCTCCCGCCCCACGCTGGCCCCAGTGCTCTTGGCCTGCTGCCCTCTGCTGGACTGGACATCCTGTGTTCTTGTCCCCTGGAGTGAGGCATAAGCTCATGGTTTTCCTTTCAGTAGGTTCCTTGGTTGTAGGTCTCTTTCTCCACAGACCCTGGAACAGTTGGGGTTTCCCAAAGGGTAGGCATGAGAGGGGGTCACCTGTGTAGCCAAGGCCTCACCAGGCTCCATGATAACCTAGAGAAGGTGAGAGACCAAACTCCAAGAATTATAGATTTTATCAGCCCCCAGATTATACCTTAAAGAGTAATCTGAACAGATTTATAGGCAAAACCCCCTCTAACACTGCAGCCTTTCATGGCTCCTTCCCAGTTATGTGCCACCCATGATGGTAATCACCTGTGTCTCATGACAAACGTCCCATGACAGAGTGATATGTTGCTTGGTGGGTACCACCTTGAGTAGGTGAGAATCCAGTTCCCTGCATTGCACTGGCCATGTGGCCACCTACCCCATGGTTTAACCCAGCACTAGGAATAGTGTCCACAACTCAATAAATCCATGTGCACTAAGACCGGCCTTGCTTTCATGTGATCTGTGTCCGGGACCTATGGTTAGCCACAGGATGTGTTTCTGTTGGCCTGACGACCTCAGATGGCTTCAGAATTTCTCTGGGCTCTGTCTCCTCACCTGAACTGAATCAACTGCCAGGTTCTAGTGGCAGGGATTTTGATTGCTTTTATCTATTTGTTTTACTTCTCTGCTAATACAGATAAATAAACTACATTTCCCAGCCTCCCTTGCAGCTAGGGGTAGTCATGTGACATAGTTCTGGCCAATGAATGGAATTCACAGATGAAGCTTCCAGGAGAGCTCTTTAAACTGGACCTGACTTGCTGACTGACCCCTTGAGTCGCCTCAACCCTCCCCTCTCCTTGCCAAGACCTTGGTTGCAATGTCTGGGATAAGAGCACTATCTTGAAAATTAAGCCACTGCACCAATTCCAGCCTGCTTCCCTCTGGACTTTTCAGTGCATGAGAAAAATGACACCTCTACTTTGTTTAAGGCAATTTCTTCCTAGGCTTCTGTTATTTGCAGCCAAACCTAGGCCCTCCCTGGTTGACACAGTCCCACCTTTGAGGTGTTTGGGAGCCCGGGATCCCATACTCACTTAGCGGAGCCCCACCTCAGCGCTTACTGAGCCCAGCCCTGACTGACACTTGAAAGAAGGGGCAATGAGGGCTTTGTTTTTTATTCCTGCATATTCTACCTGCAAAGAATCAAACCCTCTCCTGGAGCTGAGGGAAATTTATCATTAAAGTTTTTGTGAACGTTCTGTGTGTATGGCCAGTGTGGACCCAATGAAGCCAAGGGCATTGTGTTAAATTTCAGTTCTGCAAAGGAGTTTGGGGAGGAGAGGGCAGAACAACGGGGAGACAGATACTAAGCATTCTGCCCACCTCCTCCTTCCTCACAACTGTGGAGACTCCTGATGAGTGAAGGGATCCTATGGCTCCAGGCTGCTCTTCTCAAACCTGGTTGAGGCTTGCCAGAGGCCATGAATCTGGTGGAAGTGGACGTGGCTGTTGGTGCTTTGCTCCAAGGCTTCTCTGGCCAGGGCAACCCATCCCCAAGGTGCTGGGAATGTTGGCTGCAAACACTGCTCACAGCTGCCTCTCCTCTAAAAGGAATGCCTGTAAAGTTATACTCTACTCCCTACATGGACTGCAGCCAATGACTGGCGGGTGTGGGGGTATCGAGGCCTAGACTGCTTGCCTCACATGGGACAATTCTGTATGCCAGTCTTGCTCCAGAGCTCCATGCCAGATCCCAGCTGAGGCCACATCCGAGATAGCTCCTTCTCCTGCCCACTCCTGCCTCCTTCACTTAGGAGGTTCCCTGAGGGTAATCACTCCAATGAATCAGGGCCTGAGAGTTCCTATCTTGGGCTCAGCTTCTGGAGAACCTGACTCAAGACATGGGTTAGGAATGGACCACACCAAAGCCCAGGCCTGGGGCTGTCCTAGCCAGAAAAAGAGTCACCAGGTCTGATACTGAATACTTAGGAACTCACAGCAAACCCACAGACACTCTATGAGGCAGCTGTCAACCAGCCTCCCAGCTTCAACCAGGACTCTCCTGATTGAAACCAATCACAAATCCCACTGGCTTGGGCACCGGTTCAACCATCTGAGTTTCAGGCTCAGCTGTCTCCAGGGGTTCAAATGAGTTGCCCCTGCTGGCCTGTGTTTGGCTCCCCTCTGCTGCCAGGCAGGCTCTCACCCGGGGCAGGTAAGAATGCCAGCAGCAGCCTCCCATCTGTGATCTCTCCTTGTAGCATTCTCAAGAGAAAGGCACCTCCCTTCCCCAGCATTCACGGACTGTCCCAGGCAGGACCTGGTGGCCCCAGCAGGGGTTATAAGCCTCTTCCAGTGGCCTGGAGAGTGGCATTAGCCCACTGAGATCACATGGAAGGGGAAGGCAGTGTCCGGTGGAAATAAGGAGAGGAATTGGGCCAAGTGAGAGTCCAACCTGTTTTCACTCTATGAAGAAGGAGGAATGTTCTCAACTACCTACACCTGCATGGGAGCGGACACCTAGGGTGGGCTGGGGAGGTACTGTGTGTGTTGGTGGTGGGGAGGGGGAGGGAATGGGAGCAGGATGGGGAAGTGAAAGCATCACCATGTCCTGCTCACCATGATTGCATGGTGGCCCAAACATAGAATTAAATTCCTGCTACATAACTTGCCTTACGTGAGAGTATGCTAAGCTCTCTTACTCGATGTTGTACTCAGATAAATTGGAGTAAAACTTAGGCATGTACCTTTCAAAGCATTGGGAAGATCTAAGTGAGCAGAACCTAGCTGAAAATTGCACAGCTGTTCCATGGCAGCGGGCTGTCTTCCTTCAGCACTAATCTCCAAGCAGACAGACTCAGGCGGAGCCTCTAGCATCAGACAAGGCCCAACGAAAAAGAGGCTTCCTCATTGGCGCAGGGGGAAAATGAAAGGTCCCTGGGCCCCCTAGCCTGGCTGTTTTCCCCCAGAGTGAACATTTTGTGTGGGTGGCCTGAGGCTCTTTGGGGCATGGACCCAGCCAGCTCTGCAGAGAGCAGCCAAGAGAAGGGACAAGGTGCTTTGGTCTGTGAAAGGCACTGTCTTGCCACTCCTGGGCAGTCAACTTTCTGGAGGTTTTGTTGCTGTAGTGGGCTGAATGGTGGTCCCAAAGATATTATAAGTCCACATCCTACGCCATGGAACCTGTGAATATTACCTTATATGCAGGCAAAAGAGTAAATATTACCTTATATGGCAAAATATGTGATTAAATTAAGGATCCTGTGAGCGCTTATTCTGGATTATTTGAGGGGACCCTAAATCCTTGTATAAGAGAGGCAGAGGGAAATGAGACACAGGCAGAGATGGGAGTGATGTATCCACAAGCCAGGGAATGCTGGCAGCCACCAGCAGCTAGAAGCAGCAGGACCGAATTCTTCTCCAGAGCCTCTGGAGCAGGGGTCTTCAAACTTCTCTCATTATGAGAATCACCTGGTGGAGGTGTTAAAACACAGATTCCTGATAGCACTTCTTATAGTTGGGATCTGGGAATCTGTGTTTTAACAACTCCACCAGGTGATTCTCATAATGAGAGAAGTTTGAAGACCCCTGCTCTGGAGGGACAGTAGCCCTGCCACACTGATTCCAGACATCTGGCTTCTGGAACCGTGAGGATAAATTTCTGTTGCTTAAAACAAGCAAGTTTGGATAATTTGTCATAGCAGCCCCAGGTAAATTAATGGAGTTGTGTAAGGTTGTCAGAGTCTGGTTTCTGTCACTTCTGCCTACAAAGGTCCTGGCTCATACATGGTGTTAAGTCTGGCCAAACATCTCAAGACAGAGTCCAGCTGCGGCCCCCACAACCAGGGAGGGGTCCTGCCACGCTTGTCCACATCTGGGGTCCGTCTCTGTGTCTGATGAGGTAGCCTGCTTGCTGTCACTCTCTAACGTGCACTCCAGGAGACTGGCCCTGGCCCTGGAGTCTCTGTTAGCAGTATCAACATTGGGCCGCTAGCTGCAGGTGGCTGGGGGGCAGGGGAGTGAGGCAGAAAGGCAGGTGCTAGAAGCTTCTCTTGATTTATCGGTGGAAACTTCACGGTTCATGAATGCCCACTCTGGCTTGGAGCCTGCTGTCTATGGCACAGGGTTGATGTGGAAACTGCTCACTGCCCTTCCCTCACCTTCCCCGCCACTCCCTCCTCAGAGAAGCAGGGCCAGTGTCAGAACCAGCTCACTGTTACAGCAAGAGGGGATATTAGCAGTGAAACTTCCGGAGAAGCAGGAGGTCACGGTTCTGCAGGGCTTCAGGAGACACCCCCCACCTGGACAGAAATGTGCTCGTGAGTCTGCCACGCATGTGAAGGGAGGCAGAGACACGGCCCCGCCTCGCTGGGCTGCAGGCCCAGGGAGGCCGGGGTTGAAGAATATCTCAGGAAATTGTTCTGCCAGGGACATGTCACTCCACCCAAAGGCGCCTCCAGTCCCAGCCAGAAGATACAGAGAGGAAAATGATGATAAGTACACACACAGCAGAACAAAATACACAAACAACCTTACGAACTGAGCCTCAAGGGTTGAGTAAATGAGGGAAGTCCTGGTGTGCGAATGGGCCCGGCCGCGGGGCCCAGGCCCTGCTCCCTGCGCAGCACTCTTCATGCATTGGCTGGGATCGTCTGGTCTAGTCCCTCGAGCTGGGGACACAAGTCAGAAGAGAATTCTTGCCAGGCATGTTCCACAGCCAGTAATGCAGGGCTGTAGGGTGTCTGTTCAGGTGCAACCCACACAAGTGTATGGGACTGGGGACTCAGTTACCAGAATGACATTGCTGTTGGTGACAGGATTTTCCGAAATGATGACTCAATCTTGCTAATGTTATGAAGAAGACGGTATTGATTGATACAATAGTCGCAAATCTGGAAAACTGACTGTATATTAAACCAGCTCTCAAATGCTTTGTGTTGTGCTCGCTTCGGCAGCACATATCAAATGCTTTGTGTTGATAATAGGTTTGGATTCTACAGGGAAAAAAATAATTAGAAACTGATTTTCTCACATACACAAATATCCAGCAAGATGTCTAAACATCAAGTGGGATGTGGGTCAGTTCCTTGTTGGGTAGGACAGTCCTGCATGCCACAGGATGACCACCTTCTGGCCCACCCGCTAAATCACAGCCATAATCCCAAACACCTCCGCCTATTTCCAAAATGTCCTCTGGAGGGCAACCTTGTGCCAGTTGAAAGCCATTGCCCCACAGGACCCACCTGCCCCAACTCCTACCACTGCTGTTATAGCCCACTTTGCTTTTGCCCACTAGACACGCTACCACCTCTGGGCCCCCACACCAGTTCCCTCCTTGTTCAGCTCCCTGCTCAGCTGTCACATCACAACTGCCTCTTCTCAGCACCACCATGTAAGGTGGCATGTCCCCAGCACTCTCTACCTGCCCCATTTTTACCTTTCTTCATGGAACTAACCATCTGACATTTTACCCAATATCTGTCTCCCCCACTACACTGTAAACTCTATGACAGCAGGGATTTTTGTCTGTTTTGTTCACTGTAAGGTCCCTGGTCCCTACATAATGCCTGGCCAGGCAGCACACCCTCATGACCTGCCTGTATAGGAAGGATGAGCATGGCAGACACACAGCAGTCACTGGCCTATGGGGATTTTGAAAACCTGCTGGGCCCTGCCTTCGGGTGGGGGAGGCTTCTGCCCAGGCCCAAATCTGGCCCACATGTGAGGGGGCCTTGGGTCGTGCCCTCAGACACAGCTTTCACAGCCATCTCCTGCCTGCAGGTGGTTCTAATTACATTTCCTCAATAGTCACAGGGTTGGTTGGTTGTTTTCCTTTGTAAAGGTCAGGCTAGTGGTTTCTCTGGCAACTCAATTCCCTCAAGAATGTACGCTTTTTTTAAAAAAAAATTTTTTTTATTTTATTTTGTTGATTTTTTTATAGAGAGGAAGAGAGAGGGATAGAGAGTTAGAAACATCAATGAGAGAGAATCATCAATCAGCTGCCTCTTGCACAACCCCTACTGGGGATGTGCCCGCAACCAAGGTACATGCCCTTGACCGGAATCGAACCCAGGACCTTTCAGTCCGCAGTCCGACGCTCTATCCATTGAGCCAAACTGGTTTCGGCGAATCTATGCTTTTTATTTTCTATTTTCCAGCACAGGTCCAGTAGTTGGCTTTATTTCTTTGCCTCCTTACCCAGATGCCTCTTCAAGATGATGGCTTTGGAGTTATGAGGCTCCAGAGGGAAGACCACATCCTGCACTTGATTCTCACCTGGAAGCGGAGTCACTAAATATCACCGGATCATTGTTCACAGGTGCCTCTTACTGTTTGGACACTAGAAGCAAGATGAGTTAGCTTTTCCAATACCCCAAGACTCTAGCTTTCAGGACTCTCCACCCCTTTCCCTTCTTTGTAAACTAATTCTGGAACTCAACTCTTGTGATGCCTTGCCAAAAGCAGCCAGTAACAACCAACACATACTATGTTCTGTTTTTCCCCCCAACTTCTTCCCCTCGAGCTAAAAAAAAACACCCAGAGGACACATCATTTGCTTTCCAAGCTATCCAACCTAACAGCCTTACCAGATGGTCTGCCACTGCCTGGGAGGGATCCCCAGCTGTGCTGCCCGCTGCATCTGCTTGCCTGCCACCTGGCTTCGAACCAAACCAATGCCACGTGTTCGAGGTTTTGGTTACAGTTACCTTCCACCTCAAGGTACCCATTTGTGTATTGGTGAGAGTAAGAAAAGCTACCTGCTACAATAAAGCCTCAAATCTCAGTGGGTCAGGGGAGTTCAAGTTTGCTTTTTAGTGATGCAAAGACCAGCACACGGTTCTTGCTGCTCAGGTGACCTGCCTCTAAGTGGTGACTCAGGGATCCAATTCCCCCCAACATCTTCCGACACCTGACCCCCAAGGAGTCCCAGGAAGGAGCAGGGTATGTGCCAAGTTTGGAACTTGTATGGATCACTTCTTCCGACAGTTCTTTGGCCACGGCTGTTTATGGCACCAACCCGATTGATCTGGGTGTCCAAAGTGAAATTCTACAGGTTTGGTGAACACACAGCCATCTCTGCCACACTACTACTGAAGCACAGGTTTTTATCCTGTCAGAACACTTGACAGCTCTCAGAATAGTTTCAATGTCCTCCCGATTGGTGGTAGCAACCACCAGTTTTCCAAAGGTTTTCCTGCCTGGCCCAGGCTCCTCCAGCCTCTTCTCCCAACTCCTAGACCTTGATCCTCGCCCACCCTTCCTTGTATGAACCACCGACCTTCCTGGCGCTGCTTTCTCAGATGTCCTCAACTCATCCTCTGGGCTTTTTGCACTCTGCACCAGGGCAACAAAATGCACTTCTAACCCCATTTCTGAGGGCAGGAGCTGCCTAAAGTGGGGCTGGACATGCAGAAGGCACACAGACAATACTTTCGATAACTTCATCAAAAACTGAAGACCAATGATGATGCTGCGGCCATGGGGACGGAACCTATCAGCACACCTGAGATTTAGTCATTTGTAAAACCTAGAGACATTCAGGAGCCCGTGAGGAGACGAAAAGCTGAGATCATGGGCAGCGGGCAGGCCCAGCATCGGCGTGGACTGCTCTGCACACCAGACTCCACTCTCATTTCTAGGGCACCAGGGTCAGTGGGACATCAGGAAGTTCCTCCAGAGGCATCGGAGGTGCCCACCTGCTGGTTTTACACCTTCATCTTCAACTGCCAAGTGCTTCCTCTGAGGCAGCTTGAAATTTGGGAACCATTAAAAAAATTTTTTTCCTTTAGGCTCTAATGACCAAATAGTAAAAATAAAATAAAATTAAAAATTAAAGACAGAATAAAATCCCACATTTTTACCAGATCTACTTTTATTTTAGAAGGAAGTTTGTAGTATAGTATTTACTTTTGCTTATATACAAGTTCTTCACATTTGTGTTTAAAATGCAGACCTCCCTTAATTCTCTTGTTCCCGCTTAAATTAGCTGTTATTTTACAATACAAAAAATACCAAAAAATTGCAGTCCTTAAATGTATGTATAGTACCCACAATCCTCAGCAATGAAATAGTTTACAATACTTACTCCATATTTACATGAGTGCAAGAGATGCTAAATTATACATATTAACAAACTAAGCTTGAATCCAAACAAACAAAAATGTAAATAACTATAGAACAAAACATTTTCAAAGCCAGAATTAGTTCAATGAAACAGGCTTCACTAGTGTTCAGAATGTTTTGTGCCCAAATTCAGTTACTGGAAGTCACTTCCATTATTGCCTTTAAAAGAGAAGGCGCCAGTTTTCGTCTGCTCTCCAGATCTTTTCCCTGCAGGCAAGGGTGTTATTAGTTTGAACCACTCAGGGACATGTCTCCTGGTGGGCCTGGCTATCTACAAACTTTCACCATGACTTCTGAGGCCGAGTTTGGTACACTGGGTAAACATTTCGGACTGAGAGCTGGTGCACAGCCGAGGACAGCCCTTCTGTCTTCCTGGGTCTGTTCTCAGGATGGCCAATTCTCACAGAATCCCTAAGGAAAGATCTCCTGGCTGATGGGTTTGGGAACTGGATTCTGTTGTAATTCTGGAGCTGCTTTTTCATCGCAGTCACTGCCCTAGCATTAGCTTAGGTTGTCAGTAAGTGCTTAGTGAGTATTCGTTGACTGGATGAATGAAACGAAAGGATCGGCGGTGTTCATGACAAGGGCACCCTCCTCAAAGACGTGAATCACTCCCACCTCTTCCCAAATGCACTCCCTAAATTGAAGGAGTGAGACTTGCACTGAAGGTAAAATGTCTTTTTCTGATAGTGCTTTGGTCTCTTCATTTGCCCCAGATTTTCTGGTGTCTCTAATCTTGCACCTCAGGCCTCATCACAGATATTCCCATGTTTCCCTTTTGCTGCCAGTCTTCGAGGCCGAGCTGCTTTTCCTCTGGGATAGCCCGGGAAAGGAGGAGCTGCCTTTTCTCCACACCTTCTCCCACCTTTTGGAGGCGATCCTCAGAGAGAAGCACAGACTTCTTTCGAAGCTGTTTGTATAAAGGAGTAGGAGAGGGCAGGAGGGCAGGGTGTGTGTGGTTCTCCATGGGGAAGCAGGAGCTATGAATCAACAAACTACCCCGCTCCCACCTACCGTTTCCAGTACAGTGAACTATGGTCCTTGGAAATGATCACTGAAAATTTAGACAAAACCACAACAAAACGCAGCCTGGAAAACCCCTTTTCAGAAAAGCTGATTCTACAGGTATAATCTTTGAACTTAAAGATTTTGAGAAACGTTTCTCATGATGAAACTGACTGTTCTGGCCACCCACAGCACCCAGAGGCTGACAGACTGATTCATGATGCACTTGCAGAGCCAACAATAGCGACAGAGATTCCTGCTGCCTTCCCTCGTGTACTGCCGTTTAAATGAACTCACTGCCAGCTTCCATCTGTTACTGACAGATGACCCGGGTCCTCAGGGGTATTCTATTGGTACCAGATACATTTGAACATCGAATATATCAGCATGATGGGGGTGTACTCTCTGGCTTTGTTATCAGTGCTTCAGGGCTGACAAGAGGACTTCTCTGAACTTGGATATCCAGTATATGGCACAAAAACACATTGGGTGAAACTCAGATGCCGTAAATTTAATAAAAATACATTTAGATATTTTTCTGTTTTATGTACACTCTGAATGTCTGAACATTCTGGACTACTGTATAGTTATGTACAAGTGTAATGTGACGGTTGTCATGACTACTTTAATTTATGTACAGGCTCTCCTGTGACACACAGACAGCTCTGAAGTTCCAGGTGATGCCATCTTGGTAACTGGCTCTAAGCGAGTGCCTTTTCTCCTGCCACCCCCTTCCTCTGGCCGAGCCTGGGGGGAAGCCGCTTGCTATGGGCTGCAAAAGAGCAGCAGTGGGTTTAGCTGCTTCTCCACTGTGGGAGCAGAATTACACTTCATTTGCTTTTTTCTTCTGTTTTAAAACAAAACATTATTTTTTAGGAAAAAATAAATAAATAAAACCAGGTGGCTGTGGGGCCGGTGCATGTTCTTTCAAGGCCTGGGACTCCTGAGGGGAAGGGACTTCTCTGGCCAAGGGCACGTGGGTCCTCAGAACAAACAAGGATGGCCCTGTGGTAGGATCCTCTGCAGTGCCTCCCTGTGGGCCAGTCAGAGGTGAAGGGCCATTCACGGCAGGCTCTCTGTGGGTGCGGACAAGCTCCCTGTGGGAGCGGACACCTGGAGAGCAATGTGGGGAGTTCAGAGGTTTTCTTCTAGAACCATCTGCTCTTTAACAGTGATGGGAAAACACAACTTTTTAGAGGCAAGTCTCAGAGTAGAGGTGTTTTGTGCACCAGACAGTATTTTATGGTTCAGCTTCTCTGAAAACATCTTCCCAGGCCGTTCTTCACGGGAGTGGGTCGGTGCTGGGAAAGAGCTCATACTCCCTCTCTAGGCACTGCATTTAAAGGTGAAATGCCACAGTTTTTACTCTTTTGACTATTTTTCCAAATTCACAAACTTGAGCATTGCTGTGTAGGGGCCCATCCCCAGGCTCTGAAGCAGGAAAGGTCTTGGGAGGCTGCTGCATAATGCCAGAGAACAGAGCACCACGGGCGGACAGCACGAAGCCCAGGCAGTGCCCTGGGAGAAACGCCGGTGCCCCACCCCGCTTCCATTTGGCATAGTTTTCCCTCGTCCATTTTTTCCATGTGCTTTTCATCCTGTTAGTGTTCACTGCCTTCCCCAGGGCCAGCACCTGGGCCTGGGGAGGAGGGGTGAAGAGCCCAGCCCCAGCTGCCATGCTCTTTTCTGCTCAGGGAGACACGTGCCACAGTGAGTCCTTTCTTCTGTGGTGCCCCGGCAGCAGGAGGTTAGAAAGGCTGAAGCAAACGCCAGGTCGAGAGTGACCTGGGGGCAGGGGACACATGGGGATCACGCCTAGTGTCCTATGTCAACAGTGACCACAGGAGCTTTTAGTTAGGTCATTTCCGCTCTCCTCCCAGTCCTTGCTGCTGGGATAAAGGTTGCTTGGGGTGAGAATTCTTTCCTGGCTGCAAAGTACATTTTAGAAAAAAAGCAGATTGCCAATGGGACTATTTAAATTCTGTAAGAATGTAGGAATGCAATTATGTAAAAACTTAAGCTTACTAACTTTCCAATTGCTAGATCTATTTAAAGTCTAGGCACTTAGTGTGTGTGTGTGTGTGTGTGTGTGTGTGTGTGTGTGTGTGTGTGGAGAGAAAAAGAGAGAGGAATTTCAAATGGATTAAGACCTAAATTAACCAAGTTGCTATAGAAAACTACCTATCACACCAATTTACATTCTAAGTAACACTGCTGACCTTGACATTTAAAATACCCCTTCTATCTCAATTTAAAATGATTCAAAAGTGACATTAGTTCTCAACTAGAAAAAAGCTCCCTGGTAGAGAGTTATCTGCCTAAAATGTGCAAGAATAAAGAGCACATCTTTTTAAAAAGATGGCATGTTTTAGATGACAAGTTCATTCATCTAGCCAGTTTTGAAAAGGCCTTGTTCCAGAATGACTGATGACACACGTTTACTTGTAAACACTACAGCTTTGTGTTTTTGCAGTTGAGACAGTCCCAGGACCAGTTTCCCACAAGTAAACCTGAGTATCATCCCTAGCTCTCTCACTGGCTCCACACTGGCCTCCTCCAGCAACCTCTGGATCATCCCTGGACCTGTAAGTAAATCAATTATTCCCTATGCAAAAATAAAGGTTAGATGCTGGAGCACAGATGGGAGAAACTGTCAAAGAAAGCTTGTGAACATGCAGATGAGTCGATGTTTCCAGTCGGAGGGTTTCCAGTTTTTGCCCTGCTCCACTCAGCACAGCGCCTCCTGCCTGCTCCCTCCCTGCAGACTCCAGCACGCCACTCGCCTCCACTTGCTCACTCACAGACTCCCTGGCCCCAGCATCAAATGCAGGTCCCAGGCTGCGCAGGGGGCTGCTGCTTCCGGTTTCTCAGTGCTCCCAGCTTCTCTTTGTACAGCACTGGCAGGTGCTGAGAAATGTCCACCAGGGCGCTGGCTACTGCGAGACCTTGGGAGAACCCACAGAGGGAACACATGTTAAGGAGCAGCTTGCCTTTATTTTCAAAAAAAAAAGAAAAAATCTGTTTACATTCCCACAGTGCAATAAACAAAGCAATAAAGTATGTAGGGAAGTCTTACTTGCACTCTGCCCTTCCCTCCCCCCACCCGTCCCCTCACCAGCTGAGAAACTGCTTTCATTAGTTTGCATATATTCTTTCAGAGTTAAGTTATACAAATACAAATACATATTCTTTGTCCCTCCTTGGTTACACAAAAAAGGTATAGCCTGCCTTTCAGATCAGTCAAGCCAAGTGCTCTGCGTGGTGGTGGGAGCATTTAGTATGATTGCAGACATACTCTAAACACTAAATTTCTCCTCCTGGCCTCCAAAGGGAGGCCAAGGAAAAGCAGCTCTCTTTTTAAAAAATATGTTTTTATTGATTTCAGAGAGGAAGGGAGAGAGAGATAGAAACATCAATAATGAGAGAGAGCCGAAATCGGTTTGGCTCAGTGGACAGAGCGTCGGCCTGCGGACTGAAAGGTCCCAAGTTCGATTCCCGTCAAGGGCATGTACCTTGATTGCGGGCACATCCCCTGTAGGGGTGGTGCAGGAGGCAGCTGATAGATGATTCTCTCTCATCGATGTTTCTAATTATCCCTCTCTCTTCCTCTCTGTAAAAAAATAATCAATAAAACATACTTTAAAAAAAATAATCAGAGAGAGTCATTGATCGGCTGTCTCCTGCATGCCC